GGTGTGGGGGTGGGGAGGGGGTGGGGTCGCAGGGACGCTCAGCACTGCTCGGACTCGATGAAGCCCTCCTTCTCCTGGCCCACCGGCTCCACCTCCGCGTAAGCTGGGTGACCTGACCCCCGGCGGAACTTCATGGCTGGCCACCTGCTCGGGCGTCTCTGCAGAGGGTGGGTGGGAGAGGACATGTGTGGGGACAGAGTTTAGGATAAAGGTCAGAGGTCACCGTGTCATCAAGGTTAAAGGAGAGGGCTGAGGGTCATCTCTGTTTGCCTTAATTAACTACTGAGCCAAAACTCTGCTGAGATAAAGTGTGTTCAGCAGGACAAGTCTGGTGATATTCTGACATATGTGAGATGTGAGCTGTGTAATCAAAGAGTGGTTATCCCTGCCCATGATGACTTGAGGCCCTAAGAGGTAAAACTACACTGTGTTTAATTTAAAAAAAAAAAAGGGGGTGGGGGGATAAAGTCATTGTAAAGTCTGAAAAATAAGTTTAATTTTGTGAAGCAGAATTTATTTAATAAGGAAATCATCTTGTGACATTATTTTCATTTTGCGACCCTTTTGGGTCGGGAACCTGCTGCATAAAGCACCGAATTAGCTTTAATCCACAGTTTAAAATGGTCCCTACAGTGCCCATATGTTGTAGGAATTTATTTAGCTTGTTTTAAAAATGAGCATAAATAATTTCGGCTTGTTTTCAGAGATTTATGTCTCCGTCAGGACTGAGAGTCTGAGAGCCACAGACATAAACTATAAAACTTTACAAGAGTTAGTGATGAACGCTCTGGCTTTTGTCTTTTGTACTGCACGCGAAGACGGAGCTTCACTTTAGCGAGCAAAATTCAGATCAGGGAATTTGTGTGACTGATGACGACCCTGCAACGCTGACGACGAGAGCGACTTAAAACATAAGGAGCTGTCGTTTGTTTTTAAAAGATGTTTGAACACAACTCACTGTGCAACACTTTAAACAGCGTCTACTCATCCTCGGGGAATTCACATTAATTCACATTAAGAACGACCATGTGCACCAAGTTTCATCATCCCCCCTCTGAAAATCATGATCCATATTTATGAGTCAGGAGACAACTCTCTGTGCAGATGGTCTGTTTTTTATAAGACACTTTGGAGCAGACATCTTTTCAAACTATTCCACTGGAATGTCTGAAGGTCTGAGAAAAATCTGCCATCTCACAAATAAACTGAGTTTGTACACATTCCTAACTTAATAACCATATTCTGGCAAATGAGAACTGTCTGCATTTTTAAGAAATGAGCCTTGTCTTATGAATGTTGGGTGGTCAGACAAAACACTGCATATCTTCTCCCCAGCATCAGCATCACATAGAGGATCGATCTCTGTTTATTGAAGCACAAGCAAACTTTCTATCATCAGCCTATGGATCCATAAATTGTTTAAATCTTGTATAGTTTATACATCATCTTGTTCACGTCACATGATCATCCTCAGCAGATGAAGTTGCCCAGTTGTCACAGAGTTGTACATGTTGTACACACTTTCATTCTGTCTGAGCACTGAGAGGACATCTCATCCGCTTAGGCTGCAATCGAAAATTCATTTTTGACCTTGCAGAGAGCGACAAGGTGATAAGATCAACAATGAGTTTGCAATCTCAAACTCTCCACTACTACTACTACTACTAAAGAGACACAGGTCAAAACTCATGTCAGATCATGTCCCTACGCACCTCGATGAGGAAGAGGCTGGCGGCAGAGGTGGGGTGGTGGTAGATGTAGACGGTGACCAGCACGCCGGCAACCATGATGAGCATCACCAGCAGGATACCGAGGATCAGACCAGTGTGTAGAGGGTGTGTGCCTGGCATCCTGCCCACAGTGCTGTCTGCTGGCGTCACCGAAAAACAAAAACACATGGGAAATCACCTTTTACAGCCTTTTATACACAGATACAGATAGTGTCAGAGTGTTAGAGCACTGCTGGGGTTAGGGGTTTGCTTTGCATGCTTAAAACGCTGGGACTTTTTTTTAAAACTACAGTTTCAGTGTTGACCAAGAGGGGGCACTCATCATTCATCAATACTCTGCTGTCTCACATGTACCAATATTCCTTAAAATGGACATGCTTGTTGTCAAAGTTTTGCTAAATGTCACTACTTTGAAAGAAAAGATATTTGATCTGAAAACGTAAACAATGACATTTCTACTGCAAATCCTGGCACATAACACGCCGTGTATGTTTGAGTGGATTTAACAGGGTGGCTGCGTCTTAGACAAAGTGATTAAGGAGACATTTCCCTTCAGTTTCAAAGGGAAATTCAAGGTTCAGGTTAAAGCGGAGTATCTGTGGCACGATTGTTCTTTCTGTTTAGGTATTCATGAGCAGTTCTCCTCTCGAGTGGGAGGTAATCCCACGCCAAGGTTAGCAGTGTATGGTTGTGATAGACGCAGGCCTATAGATGCTGATACTGAGTCCCATTGTAGCCTCCAGTTATGGCACTGCAGACTGAAGAGGGAGTATATAGCGACTACATAATAAGCCCGTCCTTCAATTGAGCCTTGGAACACTCGTCTTTAAAGCACTTTCTCAGATTCATATTGGAGCCTCAGATTCGACACAGCAGGTGTTTTGTGAGTTCTTTTGAAGATGATAATAGTGTCTTGTAACCTACTGCCAATCTTTGTTTTGATCTAACCCACACACACACACACACACACACACACACAAAACAAGGGAAAACACAGAATAAAAGAAAACGACGAAAACACACAGATTAAGAGTGTCGGCTCGTCCCAGCGCAGACACACCGATCATAGCAGGACAGAACTAATGAAGTGATTATGAAACAAACAGCATGGATTCTACCTTCATAGCTTATCTTATCACAGATTTATAGCAGGTTCAGCGCGGATCTATTCACCGGGCTGCAGATTCTGTGCCCCCCTCTCGGCAACCTCTCCCTAGCCTCCTCCCTGCCTTTAATTAGCAGCTATAGCCACCGCCGAGCTTGTCAGCCAACCAGTCTCTCCCCTGGCTCCCTGCCTCATTGATTTCCAGCACAGAGAATAACCGGGTGGTAATCAAACCTGTCCAGTGTGTGTGGGCAGTCACTGTGAATGTGTGGTGCTGTAAGTCAGCGGAGCCTCAACATGCACTTCCAGAGCAGGAAATCTGAAAAAGCTTCAATACATGGATGATTTGCTGTGCTGAAGCGTCACTTCTACACTAAACAAAATAAATGATTGCCTCCAATGTGCTTAATCCAACTGAGTAGTTTCCATAATGCCATTTTCTTTTAAATAAAGCATTGTCACAACAGCTCTCAGAGTGTAGTTTTAAACATAGCAACTCAGGAGCCCTACTTTTCAGAGAAAAACAACTTGGCAGAGAAAATGACATGATGACATTTTTAGCTATTGTGCGTAATCCTCAACATCACAGACTGAGGAGGGCTTGTTTTTTTTTTTTTTTTTTTTCTCAGAAAGACATTTTTCCTGTGTTTATCTGTCAGTGCTACAGAGTCTTACAGCCATCTCTTGGTCAGCTGGAAGCACAAAGGATGCGACAGGCTGTTAGTCTGCCGTGTTAGTAGGTTAGAAGGGGGCATGAAACTGAGCGGAGATGTAGACACAATGAGAAATCAACAGCCCAGCAGCTAAATAACCAGCAGCAGGCAAGTGGGTCTCTCTAGAGGTCTGGAGGAGCCCGGCCCTCTGAGACTGACGGTTTCATCTGGACTCTTCTGAGTGGTACATTTAATCCAATCAGACAGCAGAGACAAAGGCTTCAAAATATCATTTATACTGGGGCAAAGTGGGCTGCTGACAGTCAGCACATCTAAGAACACGTCTTCAGCAAATTGCCCTGAATTCATTCTCCATTAGCTTTGTCCTTATGACTGCTCAAACCTAAAGAGAGTGGGTAAACACTAATGGACAGCAGAGCTCTTAGACAGCAGTAAAACGCATTAGAGCTATTGGGTGAGGGCGAATGAAACGAGAGGAAATCCAGCCAACCTTTTCTTTTTCAGCTCCACTTTCGTGCCACGGCTGTAACACGGGAGCACAACCGTTCTCTCACTTGGCTAATGGGGTTCCAGGAAACTAACAATACAAACTAAGCGGACCGAAAATTCAGCCTCTTTGTAAATAGCTGCTGAAGAGTGGCGGTGTTGAGTAGACACTCCTGAGGAACTGTCTGACAGGAGAGTTAAACACGCTGAAGAGTGGGACACATCCGGGATCATCCAGAGGTGGACTGGCATAAAAGCAGACACATTTTAAAATCTCTGATCATAATCTGATTTACTTCGACGTGCACAAATACCCAGTAGTTATAAAATGTGATTAAAAGCAATTTGTCATGACTTTGACTTGCTTTGTTTTCTTTTCTCAGTATGATAATCCCAGTGCCTTCCTTGCAACTACGTTTCACGTTGAATGACATTATTGCCGGATCTGAGGTGAAAAATGGTCAGATACATGAATAAAATGCAGAGAGATGTCATCACAGTGTGAGGCACTGCTGCGACAGGGCCCCAGTGATTGGATACATGCAGGGTTTGTGTAATGAAAGTGTGATAGAAGCTGCGGATTTCCAATTCCTCTCAAGCAGGAAATTAAACATTTGAGAGGCTATCTCTGAACACTGATAGAGCTGGAAATCATTTCAGAGTTGGGATGTTTTGCACATATTAGAAACTAAAACATTGTGTTGCTTAGCACAGCTGAAAACACTGCATTTTGGTGGTTAGGCTATACAATCACTGTGAAATTAATGTTGAGGCTCTGACTGTAATTGCTGTAAACTAGCTAAGCCACAGTATAAGTGCAAGAGGAGTATTGTGTTGTGGCCAGGATGAATATTGGAAGTAACTTTTTCACTCATTTACAGATTTGCACCTCCAAAAGTGTTCCAGCCACATCTTGCTAGAAAAGCATTAAATCCATCCAGGCAGCACAAAATATACAGAAAAAACTGTTATAGTGGCCAGTGGCTGTCACTATTCTTAAAAATGGTCTTTGATCCAATTTAAAATTTTAGTGCTCACTTTTAAAGCCCTGCATGCCTGGGCTCCACAGTATATTATAGACCTTGTGCACCTCCCCTCGAACTCTATCCAGGGTTTTCTAGGTGAACCTCGGACTTGTCTCAAGGTGATTGTGCCTTCCAGTCGGCAGCTCCTAAGCTTTGGAATAGCTTCTCATTAAACCTGCGGTCTTAGGAGTCTATGGACTATTTTACAAAGCAGCTAAAAATATAGCTAAGCTGTAATATATACAATTTTATAAATATGTAGTTATTTAGCTGAACATTCAGAAGAGTTTAAAAGGCCACTGTATCTCCTATGTTTTACAGCTACTGTCTTTTCTCCTTCTGTCTTACATATATCCATGTCTCACTGAAGAAAAGTTGCATCTATGGCTCTCCTTTATGTTGCCTTTGTGACTCTATTTAAACATTTTAAAATAAAGCTTAACTTAAAGCAACTTTATTGCAAATTTGGGCACATAGCCTCTACTCTCCCTGCCTTTCCTCACACAGGTCCAGATACTATAATTGATCGCTGCAACCCACAGAGGACAGTTAAGCATCACAGTCGGCTGCTGGATAAAGTTTATCAGCTGATGGAGCCACATGTCCTCTGAAAAGATCAAAAAGCAATCAGGTACCAATACCTTAGTGGTGAAACCAAAAGAGGATGCAGACACACAAACACACGCAGCCATAAAAGCAAGAGGGAGTAAAGGCACAGTTCAGGGGCAGTAATGGAAACAAAAGTTATTTGCCACAGCTGTGAAAGACAGGGACCTACCCTGGTTGTCTCTGAGATGCAGAGCGATCTTTGTGTCATCTGTGTGGAGACAAAGAGAGAAAAAAACATGAGCATCAGACATAATCAATATTTCTCTTTGTAGTTTATTTTTGATGCGCTGACAATATAAACAACCCCCCAAAGGTCCTCAGATGAAATTAGGCTTCTTTCATTAGTGAACCATTTCCTTTCAAGATGAAATTTACTATACTTAAGATCTGATTAAAAATTAATGTTTTGAATATAATGGTTCAGCATGCATAATTCAACACATAAAAGCAGTCTGGGGTTAACTATACATGTGAAATATGGAAATGTAGCGTGACCCACTTCTCCTCCAAGGGTAGCAGGCATTTACACACACCGTAGGATTCACATTATGTAAATTCAGCACATACACCACCAGATATATTTCACTGAATGATTTAATTCAAAAGGATTTTCTGGTGCAGTTTTCAAAAAAGTGAATGCAGCCACAGTTTGGGGTCCGAAAATGAATCATTAAATGAGATATAGTACTGTGAGCGACCGCACAAAATTTAGTCCAAGTCAATACCACACCGGAGTGAGGGTCATGAGTATGGATCAGCATCGCTGCTCAAGGAAAAGAAGCATTTAAATCTGTTTTACCAGTGTGTCTATCTGTATCTGGATTTTGGATATTTGGATTTATACTGGAAGTGAACAGAATCCATCTAGAATGCTTAATATTGAATCGTACTTCTGCCATTTGGACCTTCAAAAACAGAAAATGTATTTATAAATAAAAAGTTATGTAACTGGAGATTATGTAAATAATGGAACCAGGCCCAGATGAATTTAAAGTTGGTCTAAAAGGTTCTGAAGAAAATGTCCAGAATTTTTGTCTAGGATGGAGATGGGACATAGAAGACTTCATGTGTTTCCATGGAAATGAAGTGAAATTAATGACCCTATAACTGAGTAGTATTATTACTAATTTATTTATTTTTTGCATTCTCACATTATGGATAATGTTCAGAGCAAAGTCTAGTAAAGTCTGCCAGTGTAATTCAACACCACCACAAACTACATCTTCCAAACTGGCCATAAAGTTGAATCAACACTTCTCTGAAACAGTTTCACCACAAACTGAACATTATAAAATTCATGAAGATTTATCGCAGGACTGATGTATTAAACTGAATTAGCTTTAGCAAGCTAATAAACTGGCAACTGGGTGTATTTCCTCTGAAGCAGGCAAATGAAGTTCAGTGGAATGGGACATCTAAAGTTTCAGTGTTGGGTCTTCCCCCCCACCCACGCAGATACATTACTCTTTTCCAGTTTGCCTTTTTTTTATTTGAACTTTCCTGTCCAGCTGCAGGTTGCCAACATTAGCGTGAACCACCCGGCCTGCACTCCAACCTGACCTTTGACCCCTGCAGCTGAGGAGACTGGGGAATGTTGGGAAACTGATCCTCTGTACATGTCAGGCAGTCAGAAGAGTTTCTCCGTGTTGACTACGCAACAAATACCTCAGCATGACCGCTTTGACCTCCTTGATACTAACACACACACAGATCAGAGACATTTTATTCCCCTGCTCGTCTGTTTGTCCTCTCACCACGCCCTGGTTTGATCTGGATGACGACTCGTCATGTTTTGCCTCACAGCTGGACAGTTTTCACAGCCCTCCCTGAACTCACTGCATCCATCCATCAACACAGCCGCCCGTCAAGCGCGACCAACTGCACTGGAGTGTCCATTTAAACTCAGCCCCCGCAATGGAGGTGCAATAGAGAAAAAGTTGGCTACTGCCTCAGTTAGTTATAAAAGTAAATGCCTTTTCGTGAAGATGAAATAATGGAAAGCTCAGGCCTGAATGGGAGAAGCTTTATAAAGCTCAACAATAGAGGAAGAATAACATCAACCAGATAGGAGCAGTGTGGAATAACACTGCAGACGCTGCACTCTTGCACTTTTTAAAACTTGAGATTTAATAAGTAAGTACGCAATTTTAAAGGCACTTTTGATAAGAGTATAATTGCAAAGTGTTTCACGGAAAGACTTAAAGCAATAGGGTAAAAAGCAAGAGATTGAAGAGATGGACCGGTCGAGAAAAACAGGGACACACACTGTACAAACTAAAAAAAAAAAAAAAAATCTCATCAAGAAATTGCCAGAGGAAACAAGTTAGTTTTAATATCCTTTAAAAAATGTGCACATACGGCTTTTCAAAAACTTTGAAGGAGCCTGTTCCAAAGTCAAGGGACTACAACCCAAAAGCACCATCCCCTTCAAGTTTCTGTTTTGAATTCAGAACAGCCAAGGTCAAAGTTTTGATCTTAGAAGCCTCGACCGTGGAAGAGTTAAAAGTCCTTTAAGGGGGCTTCAACATGGATTGTTTGCAATGTGTCCTGAGCCAAAACATGAACTGATATACTTTGTTCCAACCATCACAACCACAGACTGAGCTCTCGTTCCATTCCCACACCCCTTTAAGGATTAAGTCTGGTGATATTCTGTGTTCTCTGCTGATCATAGTAACTACTGTCCTTGTATCCCAAGCCTGATATATGTTATTCCTTTTTGCCATAGAGCTCCAAATAAAGAACAACACCAGCGTATCCCTCATATCATAAACAAACAATGAAGGACATTGTAGCCTAACACTTGCACGTATTTATGCATTTTGTTAGTATGTTTTTATTGTATACTGCATGCTTCTTACTTAATTGTAAGCAAGCCAAAGACATTTTTTGATGAGAAGCATAATATCTCTGAGACTGAATATATTAAATCTGTCAGATACACTGATATACACTGAAATATAGCTGCTCTACATAGATGGGGTCTCATGTTCTTACAAGGATGCAGTAAATTCACTCATCCAAGGATAAAAGTGGATGTCTGACATGACTGGTTGCCCGGGACAACACAAACACAACCACAAGACTCAGTGGAAAAGACACAGCATACAGTACAGTGTGTGCTTTTAGTATTGATTATATTAAACAATGTGTAATACGGATGTTGACACAGTGACGTGATGTTACCTGAATCGTCTGTATTATGTTTTGGATACAACAGCATCACATCTGGAGCTGATTGACATTAATTGCCTGTTTCATTAAACAAAGTGCTCAAAAGCCATAAAAAGGGAAATGAGCTGAAAATTGGCACAATAAATTCAGCCAGCTCAATACTTTCACTTCTCTAGAGACAGAAAAAAAAAAAAAAAAAAATAGAAGTAAACAAACTATGGAGGATACCTTGGCATTTTCCTAACATCAGCAAAAGAATGATGTCTGCTGCTTTTCAAAGGGGGTTTGCATGAGACAAGTCTGAGATTATGTTGCAGCGTGGTTTGAGTTAGTCACCTGCTGGGGTGCAGTTAATCATGTGCTCAATACTTGACACTGCAATATCAAAAGAGCATGACTTGTCTGACCTTTGCTGTGTTATACTGTAAGGAAGAGAAACCGAACACTCTCCACATTATTAGGAAGAAGAAGGGGAAGCACATGATGATTGACGTATGAAATATTTTACCTTTAGGTGCATATCTAAGAATATTCAATGTTTCCTTCTCAAGCAAGATTTGTAATCAGATTTGGGGAATCTGTGGGTTTTAATTTCTGGAGTTAGCATTATTTAATATTTTTGTTGTTGTCAGCAAACCAACATGGTATTATGCCTATTGTGTTTTGCAATGTTAACGTTTTATTATAAGTTTGCTGTATTGAATGTCGTCAAGTCTGTCCTGTACTATGAGCTCACCAAGGAAAGCGCCCTACAACATTTGTTGTCATGATAATTAAGCTAACAATATCTCTCAATACAGTCCAAAGCCCAGTGGTTCCTAGTGTAGATGCAAATATTCAAACACACGTCACAAATACAGAGTTTTATGTTTAAAGAAAAATGCTAATACATTCCTAGAAGCTGGACACTGCAGCTTTTCTAAAACATTACTCAAACAGGAGCCATCATTGCCTTGGTTGGAACTATTTTCAGCTGCGGATTAACTCGAATATGTTGCTCAACTGAGTATTTACAGCAACATGACAGTGTAACCTATGTACAAGTGACTCAAAATAAACTACAGTGCCCACGTTTATCATGTACAAGGAACAGTTGTGTATCTTTTAATTTGTGACATGGTGGAAGTGACTTTTTCTATGTCCAGTTTACTCTCCTTTCTCCAAAAAGACACTGTCATGGGACCCGACTTGAAAAGAAACCTCAAATGTAAAATAAGACCTTGAGAGAGAGACAGAGTCAGGTAATCACAATGAGCAGCTTTCAGAAAGCATCGGTATCTGGATCAGATCGAGCCAATTTCACTAAACTCTGAAATGATTGTACTTTCCACTTACTGAGACAAAAGCCAGCACTCTGTCTGATTTGCTATTAAATATTTAGCTCTCAAAAATGAAAATTGGCCTTCTGATCCAACTATTGAATGCAATGCCACATAGTTAACCTAAAAACTGGTCAAGGAGAGCAACAGTACAATGAGAATACTTTTAAAATGTCAACAGATCCATCATCAGAAAAGTACGTCTTCAGGAATATAACTTTTCTGAAAACAAAGATTGATGGCGAGCCAGCACAGCTGAATGACATGATCGCAGGCTTGTGTGGGTGCATCTATTTTGGACTGGAGAGATTTGTCCTAATTCAATCTGTATTGTTTAAAAGTTGGTAGAACCACAGCTGCTGCGCCTTGCTCCGCTGCCTGCCATCTGGAATGAATTTTTTTTATCTTAAGTGGAGAGCAAGACAGACGCATTCTCCAAAAGAGAGAAGTGTCTTGTGCGTGTTGTATAAGAGGAAACGCGTCAATACCAATAAAGAACAGTTCCAGCAAATGCACTTCATTTAACATCCTGCCAGTACAGACCATCCATCACCAGCTGAGAGAAAGCTCTGGGTGCTGTCACAATCTGCACCGTGGCCTTGTTCGAGCTCTGTTTTCTACTTTACCTTCAGTGGGGACACTGGTGGGAGGGTGGGAGGTGGAGGGCATGTCCCTGCCCGCAGTGGCCTCTTTGCTCCTGGATGTTGTTTTGGCGACAACGGTGGTGGTGAAGGGGTAGAGGTACGTAGTGTCAATGATGTCACACATCTTGTCCTTGGTCTGAAAGATGACAAATGTTGTCATGGCTGTGTGCACTGTCTCAAAAGCAAAAACTAATGTGTGAGAGAGGATGTAAGAGTGTTCCTCTATTACACTACAGCAAAAAGCATTCATCATCCAGGAAGCTCCAAACACGCACACACACGCACGCGCACACACACGCACGCACACACACACACACACACACACACACACACACACACACACACACACACACACACAAACGGCTGGTCATCACATGTGTTTATCTTAAACGCTCACTTCATCTGGGCAGCTGTTATCCACCCAATCCTGCCGATGGCGGTCAAAGCCACTGGAACATCTGGGGGCAGATGGGAACAACTGTCAGTCAAAAGCCGAATCTGGAGCTGATGTTTGGTCATGAACTAGAGTCTCGGACAAATAATTCTGACCCCATGAAAAGTTTAAGGGTCACCAAAGTTCATTACAGTTCATCCTTCCAGGGGAACATGGATGTCAAATGGGAAATTTCACAGCAATCCCTCCATCCATATGTTGTTTAGTGATGTCACTCTGTATCACAAATGTCAGTCTCATGGTATCACTGATCCTCTGGGAACATGAATACATGCACCAAATTTTAGAGCTGTCCATGCAATAGTTGTTGCTACAGCTGCAATAAATGATTATTTTAATTGTTGATTCAACTGTCAAGTATATTTTTCTATCAAATATTTAGTCTATAAAGCCAGAGAAAAGGCCCGTCACCATTTCTCAGAGCCCAAGGTGGCATTTCCAACCCTCTTGTTTTGTCTGACCAACAGTCTAAAACCTGAATATATCTCATTTACAACCAGATAGGGAAGAAAAACACAGCACATCCTCACACTGGAAAAGCTGGAACCAGTGAATTTTTTGGCATTTTGCTTGATAATTATTATTATCAAGCAAAATTGCTGCAGGGTAATTTTCTGTCAAACAGTTGTAGCTGTAGTTGTTGAGATATTTCAATCAAACTGGTGAACCAACAATGGGCATTTTCATCCCAATATTCACACCATTAGCACAGCTAACAAAGAATGGTCCCAACTGAAGGGACTGTTAGTCTGTAATATGGGCCAAGCTCTATAAATGTCAGATCACACATTGCCCATGATACAACCGAGAGTATCTTTTTGTTAGACCATCCCTGCCTGGTAAACCTCCAAGTCTCCGCACGCAAAATTTTAAATGCAGGGTTACTTTTCAAAAAGCTTCTTTTTGGCTGAAGGGTTTTATTCAGCAGTGGTCAGCTGAGGGGTGAAACAAAGGGGAAAGAGAGAGACAGAGCAGGAATGACATGCAACAAAAGTCCTTCACTGTAATCAAAACCAGGATGCTGCTATCACAGTATCCGGTATGCATTATAAGCACTAGGTAATTAGGATGACCCTAATACAGGCTTTCTGTTAAAAATTTGAAGTCACAAGCTGAAGCTGTGATTTTCTAAAACTTTAGGAAGTTCCTCCAGAGCCACAGAGCCACATCATACAACTGTTTTCACAAGCTTAGTGGTACTTCTTATGACAAGTAAACTGATCCCGATGTGTAAAAATTTGTCAAGTGCTCCTTTAACAAATGTGAAGTGTAATTTCATCCAAACATCTGCACCTCCCACTCCCCGCCTGCCTCTGAGGAGTGTAAGGAGGGAGCGGCTGTGCACAGTATGAAGATGTAGGATATGTGTGTGGGAAGTTCAGTGGGTCATGGGGCCTTTGGATAAAGGGTGCTGTTGAGTCGACTGTGTATCGTGGCCAGAGACTTCTAATAACCTCAAAAGGCAGACAGTAATCGAGGCGGCAGCTACTAATCCTCCATGCTGTAAACGGATCAAAATTAAAACTAGCCCACTGGTGAACTCACCATTGTTCTGTATGTCTAGGCCCTTTGCCACAAACAGTATCCTGTCTGGAAGGACAAGTTAGTATGCAAAGCAGGAAACCCACTCACACTCTGTTCTGTCGAATAAAGTGAATTTTAAAAGCTTTGGCAGTCTATAAATCATTCCTTGCTGCGGGAGGGAGATGTATAGGATAATGCACACACATAAAAACAAGCTATGACTGACTCACAATGTGCTCTGTGCTGCAAGGACAATATGAGTCCAGAAGAGTCTTAGCCATCTCCAGTAGGCCCCATTTCTCTGGAGAACATATTGTTATGGTAATGACTTTATGTGAAGGAGTCCATTTTCATCTTTCTACCTCTCTAATCATCCCATTCCTTTTATTCCCCCCCCCCCCCCCAAAAAAAAAAAAAAATCCAGCCTCATCTGTTCAATCAGGCGAGACAGATTCCTCTGCTTAATCCTCCACTTTTCCCCGACTGCTCTCCCCCCAAGAGGGAGGTGAGGGAAGCAGAATGAGACGCAATATTACGGATAGGTTCTGGTCTAACCTGTCCCTGTTGGGAGCTTGTGTTTTGTTTTCCTCTCAATGGCATCCATCTCAGCGATTTGCTATAATGCAGTGAGCCACAGTGCTCTTAATTAGAAATGGGTTGAGGGGCTTCATTTGAATATAAATGAACCCATGAGGGAGAATATTTCTCTTCGGGTTTCCCACATGCACAGCAGGATGGATGGAGTGCATTACTGGGTTTCAGTCCCACTTCATGAGACGCCACCAAGACAAACAAGCAGTTCTTTGCATTGTTTGCAGTGGCGAAAAGTAACCTCGTATCCTTAGTATCGTGTTGTACTTAAAGTTATAATCCCCAATTTTTATCTTCATACTATCTATTGATTTTTGTTCTGCACAACTCTCCGTATTAATTCACTGCTGATGCAAAATGATCAACCCTCCTGCTGCAGCTTCGCACTAAAAAGAATTCAGTTGGCGAAATACTGTGTGGCTTTTATTGTGAAGTTGTCATGAAACAAGACAACGGTCATTTCTGCCTCTTTTTTTTTTTGTCAGCATGTAATTTTTTCAAGCGAGTAATGGGATGAGATGGAGCAGCCACCGTGAGCTGTTGGATTTTGAACAGGTGGACGGAGGCTGCACAGCTCCAACTCCTCAGCAAGATAACCAGCTGCTGTGCGCTCAAACTACTCATGTCATGTGTGGCATGAAATCAGATCGCAGTTGTAATTACTTTTGACTGACGGCGGCACCGTAAACAGATGCACCAGTTGCTCTTCTGTTTTTCTGACTAAGCAGCTGCTCAGGTAGCACTTCCTGTTGTAATAAACTGCACCTGCTGCTGCTAAATCAACTAAATCAACCAAATCTCCTTTTCATCACGTCATTTTAGTCTGAAATGGAGTCATGCAAGATTTACTTTCTTATTCTAATAAATCTGGTGTAGTAAGAAATATTGCTACCTGTTTTAAATGTAAACCAACTTGTTTCAAAATGTTTCTGCCTTATACTTTCTTGTTTTAAGATAAAGACTAATTTCTAGAACATTTCTAAAACAAGTCGATTTAAATTAAAAACTGGTTGAAATTTTCGTATTTATCTTCAAAATGTGTTTTTTATGACTCATTTATAGACAGAATAAACTGCCCAGCTACAACAAATATGCTACTTACACATTAAAGCCCCAGTGATAATAATCCTATAAATTATACAACACTATGAAATGGGGCCAAACAGCATAATTTTTACTTCATGTACATTTTGCTGATAATATTTCTGTATTTCTATTTCAATAAGACTTTGAATGCAGAACTTTTAGATGTAACAAAGTATTTTACATAGTTGTATTCCTACATCTCCATAAGTAAAGGATCTGAATACTTCTCCCACCCCTGCTAGTTATGCAGATTTGTGAGCCTGTGATTACGCCATTCCTCAACATAAAGGATGCAATAACAGTTTGCTGGGAGACTAAGACATATCAAAACTCAATATTCAACAGCCATTCATTTGCCATGAGATGCAATGGTGATGCTCACCAGCTGTGTATTTTAGGTAAACAAATCCCTGCTTTTCCTCCTTACACATCAGTGTTAGGCTGAACAGGCACTTATGGCGCACTGTGGGTCCACTTGGATGTCTGTCATGCTTTATTAACCCGACTCAGCGCGGGCTGCACACACACACACACACACACACACACACACACACACACACACATCAGCCACAGCAAAGTGATTCAGTTCAGAACTTAGCATGAGAGAGGCGCTGTGATCTCACCTTCCCACCGCTTCACTGAGAGAAGTTCATTAGGATTGTTCTCTTTAAATGTCAGCGCCTTTCATTAACCTCGGAGCCAACGGGGCCGCCACGGTTTTTAATTAGCGCGTGTTTAAAGCATGTTTGCCTTTTTCAAAGGAAGTGTCTGAAGGATACAAAGGGCAGAGCGACGCTGAACAGTCAGATATTAACACTGTTAGAAAGCTAATTAAAACGCAGCTTAATGAGATCAGTGCTACAGGCGTACAGTATCTCACCACAGCGTCCATGAATCGCTGTGAGGAAAAACACGTCTTCATGTCGCTGCACTGTAAATTAGTTCGTCTCTGTCAAAGGAAGAGGAATTTAAGATGCAGAGCAGAGGGAAAGTCAAACCCAAAACCCTGTGTAAGTCCTAAATAACTAATCTCTACGGACAGAGCAGAAGTGCTGCACATTTCTCCAGTCAACCATGTCACTCACAGAATGACTGATGAGTCCAAAATAAAAGAGTGGCAGATTAATATTTGATGCAAACGGCGTCCAAAATGCAACGACAGCCTACAAAGAGAAGTGATAATGGCTGCCCCGAGTCACACTGAATAAACCCAGACAACAACCTCCCAAGAAACATTTTCAGCAAATTCCGGGGTAGACATTTATCAGCACAGTAAACATCTGTTGGCTTGCAAGTTGAGACTTTCTTAACTTGTATGGATGATAACACAGCTCTGCTATCTCTCCATAATTTTTTCCCCTCTCTGCCTCTTTAGCTCAAACTTTTCTACCCAACGAAACAAAACACAGCACAGTTCACATTTCAGCTTTCAGGAAATTCTAGGGAGGAACACTAACACTTCTTTAGCAGCTCAAATATTTACTTTTGTTTGAAGTGCAGGGAGACAGGAAGGATAAGATAAAAAGGAGACCAGAGGTTGACAGAACAGGTGTGCGTTGAATGAATGTTAGAATAAGCCACTGTAGAGTCTAAATAGTAGAGCTACTACTTTCCCATTCACTGGATAGATTTCTATTATGATGGCAATAGAGGAAAAAAAACCTTTTAGGTTTCCTGATCCCATATAGAAAAATGATTTTTTCATCATCATACTGTATGTATGAGATGTGTGCAGACTGTCTGCAGACCCCAGCAGGATGTTGTTTCAACTGAAAACATCCAAAACTATGACCCGAACCTTCACCTTGACAAAAGCAAGATACTTAAAATTTGAAGTGTTAATCCTGAGTGTTTCTGTTGGAGTGGACACCCTGGAGTAAGACAGTGCCGATCAAGGACACAAGACATCCAGCTCCCTCACGAGGTTAGGTTTTCTTTCTTTTTGTTTTACATATCTGTAAACTACATATCATTCGTTCTTGGAGTGTTTGCCAGACAAAACAAGTCACCTGAAGATGTCATGTTGGGCTCTGGAAAAGTGTCATGGACATTTCATCACTATTTTTTCACTATGCAGATTAGTCAATAATGACAATAATCGTTAGTTAGAGTGTATTGGAAGGAGAGATGTGAAAGGAGCTGAAGGTGAAAGTGTCCAGAGATCAGACCTGCTGAGGCGATGACACCAGCTACAGTTGAAGTTGATCTGTGAGGAGATGCAGGTGCTGCAGCTGGTGAACTGGAGACAGGCTGGAGAGGAGAAAGATCAAAACAGGTCAAATTTCTATCAAACATGTTACGCACTCAATAATGCAATTGACATACAGCCGAGGTCCTGTCTGCTGGAAAGGTCTCATAATGATAGAGAACTGATCGAATAACACTTAGATCCCTATACTGTGGACTGTGTTGTGACTGTGCCAATAGCTATTACAATAAATTCTCCTTACTGGGTAAAGGCATCATTTCCACGGCTGTAGAATTGGTGATCTTTGTCTTCGTCAGCTCCACGCGGTGGTATTCGTAGATTGTCCTCCGCCTCACGTCTATATTTTGGAGAAAGAAGGGGGCAGAGTGAGAGAGCGAACAAACCGTCACAAATCTTCCACCCAGAGATAAAAACTGGGACAAGTGGTCCCTGAAGAAAGCGGAAAGAGAGCGGGAGGCAGAATCAGGTCATGTGGGATGCTACCACAGCACTTTATTTCTCTCCTCTCTTTGTGCCCAAGTGTCAGCATATGACTTGGCAATGGACGGTGGCAATTTCCCCTGGGAGCTGATATCAATCAGCCCCTGTTGAAAGGCAGCCTTCTCAGTCATCTGTAACAGCAAGTCATCAGCCGGGGTAAGATGGAGCGATTGATTAGATACATCATTGACTCTTATTGCGTTCTGGCCCTCATATGGGCCAGTGTAAAATGGGCTGCTTGCTTTTGCTGGCCATGCATCTTCACTGCCATCAGTGGAAATGGAAAAAGAGGAGGATGAAATACATCCTTTGTTAAAGTCAAAAAGGGTCTTCCAGTGCAGAATATTTTAACAGCTCTGATAATAACTCCTCTGTGCTGTTGATATAGCGGTTAATTTAAACTCTAATTGGATTTTTATGTGACTTTCTATGCAGGAGTTCCAGAAATGAATCTGTAAATCTGTGGAATAAAAGACTGTGTTGCACTGCAATGTGCAGCGTGACATTGCTCAATACATGACATCTCTTATAGCACTTGTATTTGCTCGACCAATGAGCTACAAAATTGAAATTCAACACGCCAGACTATGGCTGTGTAACATATACACCAAGCAGTGACTTTCATGTCTCATTCATCACTTAATATTACCATCTGCTGAAACAGTTTCAAAGTTAAAGGAACAGTCTCACATTTTGGCAAATAGTCCGCACAAGAAGATCAACACCACTTTCACGTCTTTCCGTTAAATATGACGCTACAGCAAGGAGAGGATTAACTAAGCTTAGCATGTGTCCAAAAGTAAAAAGGTACCCTTAAAGCCCTCTAACACGTTATATCTCGATTAATCTGCAGAAAAGCTGAAGCATAAAAATATCAAGTTGCGGTTTTACAGGGGACTTTGTGCTGGACTTTACGCTAAGAGTGGAATCAGTCTTTAACTATTCTGGGTAAGAAAGAGAATAAGAATAGTTTACAGATATCAAATTACTCCTTTAACACAATCCAGGGTTACTTTTTTGCCTGTTTGATTAATTTTCGGTCTAGGAGTTGTTGACCAAGCTGGCTCCAGTGTTGTTCTTCTCATATGATGGGATGTTGTTTCCTTGCAGACCTGCTGGGTTTGATTACACACAGGACAACTGATCAAAGCAGAAGATGTGAGCCAGCTCAGTCTAACCTCAGAACAAGACCACCCTTCCTTCCCCTCATCTCCTCCCCTGGTGACTGGCTTCCTCCTGCCTCTAGAAAAGGGATTATCAGGTGCCTAATGACATGGTGGGGGCCAGAGGAAGGTCAGTTCCCCAGCCTAAGGCTGCTCATGTGTGGGCAGACTGTGCAGACTCGCTGCCCTCTGGTTGTTAGGTGGAAGGAAGCTGCAAATCAGATCCAATATAACCGAGCCTCAGCCACAACAACACAACAACAGCTAATGAGGATTTAGTTACCTTCCACTGATACTATCAAACAGAAGCAGGATTTGCAAAAGTGTGTCATCAATTATGCACAACAGGGTGAGTTAACCTATATCAGAACATCATACCCAGAGAAGATCCAGTGCCGCTCTCCTCAACATGTATGTATGTTTATTAAGAAACAGTATTTCATTCATATTTTCTTTGATGAAATCACAACAACAGGCTGCCTCTTACTGCCTATTCATTCAATTCAAAGAGCTGCATGACATGTGATGTCAAGCCACTGAGCTGAACATTGATTGTGAAATAATGGCAGGCTCACGCTCTCCTCTCATCAGACAGCACTCTTTGTACTTTTACATTGAAATTTCTCAATGTGTTCAATCGACCTCTTTCACCTCATGATTACACTCTTGGCTCTTTGATATCTCCAATATATTAAATCACAATGTTTCTTCTTAAGCAGAGCTCAGCCGTGAATGAAATGAAATTATTGAGCATTAAGCCCTAAAACCTGAAAAGAAAAACAACCATATATCATACATTTATAATTAACAGCGCCAGTCATGGCACCATCCTGAGAATAAAGATTGTTAATCCAAATAAAGCAAGAAGATATGAAAAAGAGTTTTGGCTTTAGTTTAAGAATAACTCACTGTGACTGATAATGTACAATCTAGCCTGGGGAAAGTAAATTAAAGCCTGGGTCTTCACACATGGTTGTACCTGACCTGTTAATTACACACCCCAGCCACAAATCTTCTCCGTCATCTCTGTCTTTACTGGATGTGCTGGGGGCATGCTCTGCCTAGAGGCAGTGTAAAATGTTTTATTTGAGCTTTTAATCCAAGGCAAAGCTACAGTGGGGTTAAAAAATGACCCTCTGGTTGCCATGGTTGCCATGCAGTAATTGGCTGCAGAGACACTTCACAGAGTTGGAACACTTTATTCATAGTAGAGCCTGTAGCGGTCATTGGTTTCCTGTCTACTTTTTCCGCTGTTAGGATTCAGGCTTAACATATCTTAAAATACCAACATGGCAAAACTTTAATTCTTTACTTATTTTTTAGCTGAATAATAATTCTCTACACGAATTGTCCCCTCAGCACCATCTTCACCTACATTTCTTCTGTATATGCTGAGTGCAAGAACAAAGGGGGATTTAAGGTCACACATTATAAACTGAACCTACTGCCTGTGGGATCAGATGAACTGCTTATGGAGAACTGAGCAGGAATGGCATCCTGAAAACTCCTGATTCTTACTTTTTCTAAAGGTTAATCCCTCTCCATCTATGAATACTCTCCCATTAAAGGGCCCTTCTCCGGTATTTGCATCAATATGATGACCATTGTTATGAAAAAAAACCTCTGATCTTGCTCATTGTGCATTTGCTTTCTCCACAACCTCTTGCCAACAGTTCATGGGCCACATCAAGCCCTCTGGACTGACAGGTGCAGGATGCAAATGTTGCCCTTTTCTTTCAGATGCTGATATGAACCTGTGCTCTTTGCAAATATCACCTGCTTGTTGCACCGTGAGAAAATAAAGACTTGTTTGTATCAACCGTTACAAGAGTTTGATTATGTTTATTGAGAGATTGTCCAATCATAGCTACGAAACCATGACGAGGCACAGCAGGTTTATTAGGCTTTAGATTAGCAGTATGCATGTGGCTGTAGTAAAGATGATACTGAATTTGAGGAGTGTTGTCTATTTTTTTTGGCCTTTTTCAAAACCTAAAATACAACTGATTAAATAGTGTGTTTGTTTAGCTCTAACAAAAGCTGCAATTGTTAGCGTGTCTGGCTAACTAACCTACTACCTACAGCAGTAAGTGTAGCTGTTTTCCTGGATGCTAGTAGAGTTTGGGGAAGTTTTCACTCCAGAAGCCCTAGCCAGCATTAACCACGATAGCTCTATGTCTGCCAGACACTTTGGTTTGTTCGGTCAGTTCAGTTTTCCTAAGAGAGAAAAGGCTTTTATAATAAGGACTGTTTAAGTGAAAACATATGGTTTGAAACTATGAACAAGAATATAAGATGAACAGCTAAATGGGGTTATCAGATGGTGAGGATGATGACTGGGACCTGTTAGCTGTAGCCTCAGTCTTTTAGCACGATGTCATGAATGTAGCCATCAAGTGCATATTTAAGACCCTTGACCGGCGTGGAAACAGTAACTCAGGAGAGTCTCACTTAGTGAACGTTTAGTTACCAAGCAATCTCCACAAATGTTCACACTTTTAGTTTAATGTGACACATTAATGAGGTCAAGACAGTCATTGTATTAACTTTTTGTGTCCGAAGATGTTCAGTTTTCGCTGCTTGATCTCTCCCCGAATATGATTTTAGGTGCGTTTAGCGTTATAGTTTCTTGAGAAGTAGAATCAGAGCTGTGATCATTTCAGATGGATTATCAGAGCAGAGAAAAAGGTCTGACAGAAGAGGAGCACGTGCACTCCTCAGAGACATCATTCATGTTCGACACAACACCTCAGTCTCAACCCGCTTTTATTCGAGATTTCGTCACTCCACAGCCAAGCAGCGGCACACACTGGTTTCATCATGCTGTGTCGGAGGCATCAAAGCCAGCTTGGTTTATGAAGTCTAGGCGGACTGTGCTAACAGGTTCAATATACAATCTCTCACTGCCAACTGCAGCTTTCTAAAAGAGATTTTGTAGAAAAGGCCTTCAGATAATGTCAGATACCAGTCCAAATAATGGAGAGTTGTTTTACTCTTTAAGCTAACTAAAAAAAAAAACTACAAATAAGATAAAGATGCCATGTGAAGGACAAAAAGAGAATAAAAGAAATTAACTTTGACAAATAAATACTATCCAACTTAACGTAGTTAATCAAAACTGTTTAAATTTTACTGAATAAATCATATTTGTCATCTCATTATTGTGGCAGGCTTTGAATCAGAGCCCATGGAAGATGGAGAGTCTGACTGTGGGTACAAAGGTTTTATGTGTTTCTCCTTTGCTCACATTTGCTTTAAATTTAATGGGCCTGAATTGCGGTAACTCAAAAGCAAATAGGACAGACAGATCTGGAGCTGTGCCCAAATCTCTGCACGATGCCCACTGAGAGAGATGGACCGGTGCTGGAGCAGAGGTGGTGACAGTCTTACTACAGCCCCATGTGCACTGCTTCTTCATGTGAAAAAATCCAAAGCATGACAGACCTATTGTGCCTACTGATGGTTGCTAAGCTATGATTGGACGACTGCTGTTCTGTTTCTTAGTTTTTAAAACAGTCTGCATTCGGATTAACTGAGAATATCTTCTTCTGGACCAGTGAGTGCTAAAAGCTAGAAGAGCGTGTTTGCTTGAGACTCACTGGGTATCTGTTGGATCTTGTGGACCACCACAAAGGCATCAGACAGGCCCACCTTCACAGGGTGATTGACAGAGCTGATCTGTGACACCTCAACAGGGATCTGAAATAGAAGAAGGGAAAATCAATTACCAGGACCACGACGATCTGTCTGGGACAGGCTGAAAAATAGAAACAGGCCACACCATTCTGACAGCACCACCGATTCTGCCAATTTATTACGATCTCCCATAGCAACCTGCTGAGGCATCATGCATCCTCAGTAAGCATATGGCTATCTTTGGTGTACAGAATAAACATTGCTCACTGAAGTGAAAAATATATTTAAACCCATTAGTATAAACCCATTATTTCGTTGCGTTGCCAACACTCACTTCAGTATAATGACCCGACTGAAAACATGCGAAAATGGGGCAAGACATTTTAAAAAGTCAGACAGAATTAGAAACAGAAAAGGGAAGCAGATTGTAAGATGTGTGGGATTGGGGAGAAGTGGAAAGTGAGTCATGTTTTCTTTTGCCTGTACATACAGTACTATGATGATTTAAAAATGTTCCTTTTCTATGAAATGTCTCAGTAAAGCCTGAAAAATTCTAGCGTAGTTAGAGTTGTTTTATTGTAATGTAGCTGGTTAATTCTGATGAGTTTAAGTTTGCTAACTTTGTCTCGACAGCCTGGAAAAGAAGCCAAGAACAGATTATTTAATCAGCCTTTGCTCTGGTTTCTCCAGTGTTATATAGTAGCTGTTTTTGTCAGTGATTTATGAACTTTGCTGCACACAATAAAAGTCTGAAGATTTGGTTGTTATAGTTGGTTTCTAGTGTTTTGTAGTTTGAAAATGCATATGTATGTGTACGCTCAAGTTCTGGCTTATAATGCATGCAGGGTGGGCACAGTGTGAAAATCAGACAGAGGCAAGGACACAAAGTAAGAAATACACACAGTTAGTCAATGACAGACTGAAGACAGACTTTTTTCAGTAGGTGTAAAGAGAACTGGTTGGATTAATCAGTCCTGACCTCTTTGTATGCAAAGACGATCCTGCCAGTGTTGTGCAGCGTGGCCTGGAAGGTGAAACTCCCTAGGTTGTAATTATCCTGTAGGTGGACGTGGTCCCACTGCACCACCAGAGCAGTACCTAGAGCCAGAACCACAGAAAATAAACACATACAGTTTAGTACTACATGTCAGACAACAAAGAATCACAAAAAGGAGAACAGACAGTGGCAATGATAGCTTCTGTCTCCATATAGCTGACACTTTTTATTTTTTTAACACTGACTTGTTTTTCACTGTTTTTGAAACGCTATCTCTGGTGTCTCAGATCTAGCGTGAAATGAACCGCTGACCGGGCAAAGACTCTGAATAAGAAGACATCAATGTAACAATCATGTTCGTAAGGTGATATGTTTTTGAAGGATTATTTCCTGACAGAGACTTCACTTCCCCCTGTGGGTGTGAGGTGATTGACACCGACGGAGTGTGAGCATTTATTTGAAAACACTCCACTGGAACGAGATGAAACAGCCACAAAACTGAAACCTTTGACAAAACCAAATCAAGGCGTGGTGGTTACTCTGGCGGATTCTGTAGTTGTGGCAATTTTCACAACAGTGAAAAGTTTTCCGTACTGTACAAAAGGGAGTGAGAGCGCCGTGAATGACTTCTTCTGAAGGTATAGGAATGACACCGGATAAAAGCGATCACCACAAGGGATGAGTTAAAGCAGCGGGGCAACACTGACACCAACGTAAAGGCTCAATCCACCTATTTACATTTACAAGGATATGTTTTCTCATCTCCAGTGGTATCTAGTCATGCATAATAGATAATGTTGTTATTTGCTCTGAAAATTATTTGTTCAAGTTTCCTCTGTCGCCAAACGTGGTTTCTTGCCAGGAGCCGGTGGTGGTGATTGTTGCTTGCCAAGAGCTTCAGCCATTGTTGTCTTTATGGTACAAGAGGTTATAATACACCTTCTGAGCAGCGCTACGTCCTCAGGGCAGATTGGAGGGTACAGTGAGTCGCTATCAGAAAGCGATGAGACGGTGCTGGGGCTAGCTGGTTAGCGTGCTAACTTCCGTAGAGGAAAAGATGCGATAGAGACAAGAGTTAACACTGGTGATGCTTTCTCCAGCTGGAGACAGCTCTTGGTGACGAAAGGAATGAAGTTTGGTGCTGGACTTGCAACGTTTCTTCTAGACTGGTAAGTAAACAGCTGTTAATGCTAATGTTAGCTATGTAGCAATAACAAAACTTACAAATAGCTCCTTTAAATTGTCCTTATATCTGCTTATGACTGCATTACAGTGTTTTATGAACCATCTTTAAATGTTTATTGTGTTTATAAATTCAAAAGGGGGGGGGGGGTTATAGTTAGGCCTTACTGTGATTAGGATGAAATGATTCTTTAAAGATGTAGCATCACAGATACAAATCGGGAATGCTGGACTGCTTCTTAAAGGCAGACAGGCTATTTATCCCACTTGACTGCATCAAGTCAAGTGATCATTAGCTGCTGCCTTCATTTGGGGGATGTACTAAATTAGCACCAGACTTCAGCTCTACCCTCCAGACAGCAGGCCTCACATTACTTTTAACACTATTTTGATTTACCGTGGACTCTGGAGAACCTATTGATGTGAAAGCCATCCCCCCTTCAGAGCTCGCCATTTGGCTGTGCACCAGGGCAATAAAGGTTTGTTAACACAACTAATCAATTTTTCCGTCACACAGCCGGAGCTCTTCCACCCAAAGTAAAGACCAGAATTTAGCTTCTCTGCTGACAATTTGGAGAGCACAGGCGTCTGCTTGTACAGGAAACCCCATAATAAATTACATGTGGCATGTGTAGCAGCCTCTGGCACTGGACATGCATGTTTCATGTGTTAAAGGAGGAGATTAAACATGTTAGGGTCTGATATGGTGCTGATTTTTAATATCATCTGACTAATATCACAAATTGGAAACTGCAGTGTCAAGGTCAGCAGATTAAGGTGCACCATTTTCAGTGTTTGGATGAAAAATGGGAGAAAAAAAGTACTGAAGAGTTGCTGTGTAATGCACTAGAGAAGAGGGAGTTTAGAAGAAAGGCAGTGAATAACAGAGAGAGGACAGAGCGCTAAATTGCTGCTAACTTATGGCACAGCGGACTTACCCAGTCAGCAGAAGTTAAGCCTAATATAAGTCTGCTTAAAATGCATTGAGTTCAGGAGTTGAGGCTGCCATGCTATCTGGGGCTTCCTGGCTAAAAATACAGAGTGGGAGAGAAGGCGTGGAGGGAGTACACACTGGCCTTGTTTCTAATTCCACTTACAAGCTTAACATGCCATGTGAACTCATAACAAACAAAACAAATCCTGTGCTATTACGCCAGCACACCCTCGGCCTGGTGAGGTAATTATTACTGTGGTTTACATCTCAACCATTTTTTCTAAGGTTATTTCAAGATTTATATTACTTTTTTTTTCATATTTTATTAAATTTGCCTTTGTACTTCTTGATATTGTAAATGTTTTTACGTCTCCTAATGTATAAAAACTCATTTCTGATGCACCATAGGCCTTTTTCACAGCAGAAATTTTGACTTGTCATAGTAAGAAAGCACAGCAGGAACAAAAGCCATTCACACTTATTATTTCAAGTGTCTCCAAAGTGTATCCAAACAAAATCCAGTTGAGATTTAAGACACTTTCATTTACATGTTGCTACATTTATGCACTTTCTTTGTCCAGATCACGAATCTGATTAACCTGTTTTCTATATGCAAATCGAGGACAATGAAACGTTTCCACCTTTTTAACATCTGGCTTATAAATTTTTACTATTTATACCTGTGACACATCAAGATGTCTCCTGTGACACCTGTTGGTAGTCTTTAGCATCTCGTGTATGTTTGATCCTTCTGGGTCTGACATAGGGCTTGTAACATTGCACTTTTCTTAATCTAATGAAGAAGATATTTTAACCAAAGCTGCTGACAACACACTGAATAATGGATTAATAAATACCTTTCTCATTCTATGAAAATATGAAAATAAATTAAAGCAGAATTCTATAGTTGTGTTAAAATCCCAAAGTGTCACATATGTTTTACAGCCTGTCAGTGGTATTTTTACCACAGAGCTGTCACAAGAGCCCGCTGGCAACAACAGTCAAACTCGCGGTCTGTCAGGTGCTGAAACACTTCACGACTCTATAATTGTGCGCTATCAAACTTCAGGAGAGTTTTAATATAGTACTTCAGAAAAGTCTTGTCCTAACCAATCACGCGGTCTTTATTTAGCAGATTATAATTAAAAAAAAAATAGAAGTAAAAGTTTTGTTTTTGTGAAAATTGAACGACAAAGCTTCACACTGTCGCTGTGAAGTTTCACACAACTCCCACCACCCTGTTTGTGTAACGAGAACAAACAATACGTCTCTGCTGTGAACGCCTCATCAAACTGCTCACAGTCTGATGGAAAGAAGAACTGACTCTCCCATAACACAGCAGACCATACAGTTCTTGTGCTGTATTGGCAGTACATTGACTGATGGACAGTGTTTTGAGGAGCAGCCCGGATGAGAATCGATTGACTGCCAGTTTGGTTAAAGCCTGATGAGCTCCACTGCAGAAGGTCACACAGTTGGTCCATCACTCTGCTGCAGAGGTATTAGATGGCGATGACTGACGTGATGGATAACAACCATCACATATGGCAAAGGGAAGGTACACAGACTGAGGAAGGGCATCAATTTAGTATAAAATGAGTAACTGGAATTTAGGGGAATGTCACAGAGGTCACAGAGGGTGTCATAAAAACAAGCAGTTCATTTTCAGCAGTTCTAAAGCCTGAGGACATATGCAGAGGCCAGAGACTGTTTGTAAAGATGGACGTAGAAGCTCAGAGTGGGCTGCTCCATAGTCATCATCTTGGCCAGTGCTTGACTCCGCCTAACTCCCGGCTGCCTGCCTGTCACTCAAAGCAACCCCCCCCCCCCCCCCCCCCAATAAGTTGTCATGAAGAGGGAAATAGCTATAGAGACCAAAACAGTTTTTTGTACCAGGCTGTAAACATGTTTATTATGGCTGTAAATTTGGCCATTTTAACATGAGTCAATGGGGATTGAGCCTCAAGTGGCCATTCAAGGAACTGCAGTGTTTTGCACTCAGGTATTGGCTTCATTTTTCAGCCTTGGACGTTGCAAACAACAAATTTAATGATAGCATTCCAAAATACAACTAAGTCAAAGAGATTGAGAGCAACGGACTGTTTGCCACCAGGCTCGGCAGAAATCACGATGATATCACCGTGGCGTAGCTTGCTAATCAGCAGACTATGGGACATCTAATGTCACTCCACCTTTACCAGAATAAATGGCTGGTTGAGGCCAGAAAATGCGGGTTTGTGCCTCGTGCATTAAACAATCCAAGAGAGTCCACAACTCCTTCATATCCCTGCAGAAACAAGATATTAGGAGTAAAATGATATTACCGTTGTCAAAGTAGATAACAGTAGAGTTTCTGGAGACGCTTGGGTCAAAGTTGGCCATTAGGGGAGCGATGTACTGTGTAGCTGTTAGCATCCGATGGACCACGTCACCGGTATAGATGAACCCTGCAGGAGAAAAATAGAAAATAGACAACATATAACTTTCTGTACTCTTCAAAGTTAGAGGCAGATGCTCTTTAACGCTTGAAAACACCAATGTATGATGTTCGATGCATCACTTATAGTGTTGTGCATGCTTTGACAAAGTGTTTTAAGGTAGATTTTCCCCTTTGGGAACAAACATCAATCTTTTTTTCCCTCCATTACTACCTTTCCTCCTTCAATAAAGCTCTTATCTGATACAGTATCCTTCAGGAACACAACAAGCCCTCCAGTCCAAAGTTAAAAACCCCTCATTAGCCCACAACGATCACTTCTTTCTCTCTCCCAGGCCTCCTGCTGCAGGCTGCCTCAGCTACCAATGGTGATTAATTAGCACTATTATCTTTTATCAAGAAACGGAAGGACAAATCTGAGGGGCTTTAAAGGAATGCACTGTATGCTGAGCGAGCAGTTATTTATTACCATGGGGTAATAACCCTAGCTGGTTCATCCCGTTCTTCCACTGGTGTTCTCCTTTCCCTCCTCTTACGTGTGTTTTTGCGCCACATCATCAATCACAGATGTTAACAAGAGACCAACTTTTCCAATTTATGTGCCCCTACAATGAGGCACAAATAGATTACTCCACTGAGAGGAACGTAATCAGTCAACAAATACTAGAGATGCATCATTTAGCAGCCTGTAAACATAGTTATTAATGGACACCAGAAAAAAGGGAGAACGCCCACTATTCATCACGAGGGAACGGTCTTTGCATAAAGAATGTGTACTAATGACAACAGAATCAAATGGCATCTTAATTTCTCTAGTGACAACAAAGTTTAGCAAAGTAAGCTGCTGTTTTGAGATTAATTCAACAGCAATTCAAAGCAGAATCTATTGTTTCTCACTCTGACTTCGCCTGGATCGCAAAAATATCAACAACCAATCATAACATGCAGCTTTAATAAGAGGTTTTACTCTGAACAAAGAGGAAACCTGGTATTTGGGTGAGGGAATCTCATGTATTTGATGTAATTTACCTTCGAAGAACAATTTAAGAATTAGAAAAACATTCCAGATGACACTATCTTCAAAAAATGGACATGTTTTAACAACTTCCTTGCATTGAAAAAAAAAAGGCTAAATTTACCTCTTTTGTCTTGCTAATTGTTGCGAAAATGTAGGATTTTTATGAAAACGGATACATGAGGCAGCAACGACTAAAAATATGTTGTTTTTTTTGACAGGAAAAGTCAATGAGTATCAATATTAAAATCTGAGTACAGGAAGTTTTGGTTATCTTAGCTGAGAATAAACAGTGGAAAAGGGAAAAAGGTAACAAAAGCCTCCTAGGAGAAGCTGTGAAGCTCCTTAATTTACACATTCTCTCTCAAATATTGTTGTCTTTACACTTCAGTTTATATACGGATTAAACAAACATATATTCAAACATATAACTTGTTAATTACTGATCTTTAGAGGAGCTTTTAGGTGCAATTTGTTACATTCAGACACAGCTAGGCTAGCTGTTTCCCACTTTCCACTCTTTATGCTAAGTTAAGCTAACCAGCTGCCGGCTCCTGCTTTCATACAGACATGAGAGTTAAATCAGTGTTGGACATGGTAAGCTAACTATGAAAACTCCTTCACCTCACTTTGTCAGGACATGGACATTTTCAATAAAATGATCTGTGTATGAAATCATTCTCGTGGAAAGTTCGAGATAAATACAGTATATAAAGTGGCTTCCTGAGGTATGCTGGAAAAAAACCCTGCAGAGACAGAAAAGAGGATTTTTGGGAAAAGTCTCATTGACGCCAGGCCTCTAAATCCCCAATTCATGTCACCATATGTCTTCTCATACAGCAGGCGGGCTATAAAAACACATCTATTACTTTGGAAATCAGGAGCAGATCATACCATGAGGGGAATCAATCTTCCCCCAAAGACCACCCTGCTCAGAATTACCTCTGTACACAGTAGAGCACTGTCAGCACACACACTGAGAGCAGGAGGAGGGAGCGAAGATGTGACTTTATTTAGTTTTGTGAAGTCCTGACTGTAGGGAACTCAACCTGGGAGAGGAGATACGGCGCTGTCGGACTCAGTGGTTGGAGTTGCCATGGTTACTGTTATTTTCATTTTTATCAGAAACGTATACGCTTTTTGGAAAGCGATGTTAAATCAAGGGTTAACTCATTAACTATTCCAGAGCAGTATTCATGTACTTTTTGTTAAGAGTGGTTCAACCTAGTCCAGTTATGAAAAACTGTATGGACTTACAGTGGATATTAGTAACTGCTGTTCGTGCACCGCCAGTGAAGGAAAAACAAAACTAATAAATATCTACTAGGTAAATGTCAATTAACGTTAAACATCAAAGTTATGTATATATTGCTGCAACTCACAGTTACTCTTATTACCAGTTAACTGAGTTACAATCTTTTTGGATAAATCAATACACTTTTAGTTTATGAAATTGAAAAATTGTGAAGAATGGTCATTACAACGTGACATCTGCTTGTTTTTTTAATCATACCAACAGTTAACACAAAAACATCATGTCGTCTGAACTAGTTTGGGTTAAGTAGTTAATAAGTGAAGTTAGGGTTAATAAGTTTATTTCCCAAGATGTCGAACTGTTGCTTTGAGGGTGTTTTCAGACAGCAAGCAGAAGGGAGGGCGGCTGCCGCTGCCAGTTCATGATAGTTTAACTTTTTCAACTTGCTGCCTGGGCTCATCGTGTAACCATGGCAACCACACAAACTACAGCGAGGGAAACGGTAGGTTATAGCAACTGATTTTTAGAGTTAGTGAGTCATCTGAACGATACAGCACTTCACCAGCAAACAGATCAGTTAAGAGAACTGTACTGGAGGAGCATCAGCTTCAAAGTTTGCTTACTTGGTCTGGGACAATAAATAACATTTATGATTCTACTTAGCAAAATTTGCTTAATTAATCATATCATGTCGGAGGTTACACCCTCCTGCAATCGATCCAAGAGCTGTGGCAGCAGCTGCTCGCTGTCTGAAAGCACCTTAAGCATCGTATTCAGGTCAGCCCTGTTTCAGTGCTTGCAGCGCATAGAGTACATCAGATAAAAGCATCCACCTCATGTTATGTCAGGGTATATGAATGTAAAGAGGATAGGACATAAAGAGACAGGGTTGTTGAGTCTACCCGCCTAAATTAATGCAAAGATAAACATAATTCTGTGGTGAATGATGGGGCAGTACACTCAGTCACTGGTGGCAGCTTCATGGTCATATAATGCTGCAACGGCACTTTCAAATCCTTAATCTGATTGTGCAGCGACACAAATGACTTCCTCCAAATCAGCCACTATACATTCCATCTCATCTCATATTTACCCAACATTCGCTCAAACACGTCTCAAATGCCTACGCTTTGTTTTGACCCTTGTCACTCCTTCTCCTTTCACTTTCAACCTCTAAAAAGCTTCCCCCGACCAAAACACACACATTTGTGCAGACACACACTCACAATGCCCTGTGTGTCCGAGGGTTTTATTTCTGATGCTGCCTCTGCTTTCTACCAGCAATCTCCTGAAAACACAATACAACTTATTTGACAGTCTAAAGAAAATCAGACAGCCTCTCAATACACTAAAGAGGTGAGAGCTGCGGGGCACTCAGTAGAGAGGCTATTCATTCATTATGGCGCTCAATAGAGAGGCAGTTCATTCACTTACAGCAGAAGGAGACTGGACAGAAGAAGAAGGAGGAGGAGGTTACTGGGAGAAGAACAGATGTACAAGGAGAGAGGAGAAAGAAAAGAGGAGTTTGAGGTAGAGGAAGAGTTCTTATGAAGGTGGGATGGAGAAGGATAATTCTTTCTCTGGCAAGCTATGTTTATATGTGCTGCTATCCAAAAGTGCTGGGCTGTGTATGTCCAAGAAAAACATGAGTGGGAATTAGCAGCCCCACTAGACTAAAGCTTCACTTTATTGGACATTGTGTTTAGACTAGGTCTTTGTTCTTTAGCACTGAGCTGTGTTTAATTTACAAGATATTTTCTGTTTATCACAGCTGTCCTGAAGCTGGGAAGAGTCAGGACTGGATTTTCAAACACACCCGTGTTTTATTTATTTTTATTTTATTATTATCCGTGTTTTGTTTTGTTTTTTGTCCTTTTAATATTAAACTTTGAGGTTTCTATTTAAATTAGATGCCAGATTTTTCTGTTTTTAATTTCTTATTGATACAAAACATACTTAGTCGGCCTATAACCAGCCAGAGCATAATGTGTTTTATGTTTGACAAGTGCGATTTCTTTGGAGGACTAAAACTATCAGTGATCGTCACCATGCATGAACAGACACTAAAGTCAAACTTCATTAGGCTAAAAAAAAACCAACGTAAGTTCTCATCTTGTGGCAGTGACTCCCTATCTGTTAGGCCTTAAACCTGCTGTTTACAACTCTACTTTTACAATTGTATTTTTCCGGGGGACACATTATTACTTGGATTATGTCCAGTGACAATGTTTTTTCCAGTAAATAGAGTTCTAAAGTTTTGTACCACACACAAGTTGTAGAGATGTTGTCAGGGTGAAGGATGGGCACTTTGATACTGGAGAGCAGGGTTTGCAACCTGAGTCTGTGTGTGGTTAGGTTTGGGCAATAAAAGCATTGGTTAAAGATAGATTTCAGTTTTATTTACATGTTAATAAAGTGAATACAAGTCAATATTTAGGCAAGAACGTGATCTTTTCCTAATCCTGACCAAGTGCAATGAGAGCCTAAATATATCCACAAAGATGTCCACTCATTGTGTTGAACACAATTTAGACACGTCTGTACACAAAAAGTACAAAACAACCTGCGACAATAAGTGTCTCTAACACCACAGTTTGCCATGATGACACACACACACACACACACACACACACACACACAAACACACACAAACACACACAAACACACACAAGGTGAAAACAATACCAGCCCCGATGTCGCAGCTGATAATAATCTCTGGGAAGTGGAGAGCACAAACTGACCCCATTTCCTTTCATGTCTCCTTTCACCTTTCTGCGTCACACAAGTTATTTATTTGAAACCTTACACACTAGTTCTTGAGGTTAAAAAAAAAAATCTGCTGCTGCGAAACTACATTTAACTATCATTTGCTAAAGATGTTCATGTGTTTTTCTGAATTTATGTTTATATTCTGGTTGTTAAGTGCGACAGCTGGCTCTGTAAACAGCATACCACAGCTGGATATCCGTCTACGCAGCTGGCGGTGGTCAGATCATATATCATCACTGATATTCGCAGTCTGTACATGCCGAGCCCTCCACACAGCCTTCAACACAAACTAGACTCTCACAAACAACCTGTCAGTTCACCGCTGGACCTGCAGCATGTCACTGCAGACCCAGGAAGCCTCAGTTACTTTAATGTACTGTCCTGACTGGAAAAATATTCCCTTTGTTGACAACATGTTGATACTCTCTCATTTCCACGTATTCTGTCTCTTTTTCACTGTTTGAGCTTCTACGCAGCTGTAGTCTATTGAACTGACTTTGTAAAGTGATATGAGTGAATTTAATGTAGCAGTATTAAAGGGGTGCTTTGAGCCTTAAGGTACCAGCGTGGACGGATGTCTGCCGGATGTCGTTTTGACACTATACCACAGGTGTAGCGCTGCAACCAATGATCATTTTCATCATCAATCAATCTTAGTTAGAAAACGAATACTTTTTCCCTGACTTCAGCCTGCAAACCTTTATTATCTTAAAAAGGAGGGAGATATTGTTTCTGATACCTATCAGAATATCAATTTGTTTCAACATTTCTCAGAAATCAGACAAAATTACTTCTTACCGTGGAGACTTTTTGCAGAGTGAATCTAGATTTACAGTATGTCAAAACCATAAAAGTGGACTTAGACCTCAGTTGTTTGACAAGGCTGCATGCCAACCCAGTCTTGGCCACATCTCTAATGTGTGTGACGATTGGCTGCTTGACTGTTTAGAAAGCAACTGTGTCTGTGAAAATAACAAAAAGGAATAAATGTAATTGTAAGTCTGCTGCTCTTCCATCACACTCTGTTCAGAAATTATCTTCTCCAGCAGAGTTTCAGCGTAGGTAGCAAAAGGAAAATATTTGCTGAAGTAAAAACAGTGACTTGCTGACAGCGATGAAAGTGGAGAGAAAAGATGGTACAGTGGGGAGAGGAGGACGAGCTGAGTGATGGGCCCTGAAATGGAGGGATAGGAGGAGGGCGTCTTGGAAACAAAGCCCCAGAGGCCTGCGAGACGCAGATAGCTGCCTGCTCCTCCTCGGTTACCCCTCTCTTCCACGGCCTCGTCCCTCCATCTCTGTCTGGAGGAATGCAAATTCACATTATCTCCTCTCTGCTAGCTGCGTCTGCGCCCGTCCATTCCTCGTCACCATCATCCAGAACGTCCCTACAGCCAACACAACTTTGCCAGTGATCGAGAATCAAGTGGGAAAAGGAGAGTGATGATGATAAGGGACTGGACGGATTTTTTTCTTTATTATTGCAGTGGCAGCTAAACGCAGCGCAGCATCTTTGAAATAGCTGGGTAAAGAGCAGAGCTTTAGTCTTTGATGTGATAATAGCTGGTTGGGGTGTTGTGGTTTCGCCATCAAGACTCAAGTGGAAAATTGCTTTGCACACTCTGGCAGACACGTCTGCTGAGTCACGTGTCTAACCCACACATACACATCCTCTGATATCCCCACCTCCTTATCCATGCCTATCAGGGTGTGCTAGGCCACTTGGCAGAGGGACTCCAGTTTCCAGTCCAAACCCATCAGTCTGGTTTCCCTTCCAGTTAAGTCTGGTGTAGAGCTGCTGGTGCTGAGTTTTGGGAGGGTTTTTTTTTAATTTTTTTAATTTTATATCCAAGTCTAGCAGACTATCCCATGGAGGTGAGAGCTGTAAATGGTCTTGTATCAGACTGACTGGTTGGCTGGCAGAGTGTTGTTGGTGGTTTTGTACTGTGGTTTGTGTCAGAGGAGCCTTTCAGAGCCGAGTTCCCAGAAACAACATCCAGAGAAATAACTCATTGTTTGGTCCTTTTCAGTGTTCAGGGGTGAGATCTCTTTGTACAGGGGCCATGTCACAGTCACAGGTACACCCAGTACCACAGACCCATTCAGACACACAAATATGTGTACACAAACACACACTCTCTCTTTTTCTTCACCATTTCATAAATGCCTCTGTACTCCAGACTCATTTCATAAATCTTACCACATTCCCCCCCTAAACCCTGCAGCAATAAAAACTGTCTGTGTACTGTCTAATATGCCAAGCACATACTGTATATCCAATAATAACACTAATAACTACTATTGAGAGAGCAGAGTCCAAGAACAGTGTTCACTTACCACCAGTTGCCACGGTGATTTCACGCAGGAAATGTCCATAAAAAGGGAAATCGAAGGACAGATTAACTCTCTGTGAGGGGAAAAGCAGACAGATGACCCCGGTCAGAAAGATAGAGGTAAGAGAAGAATCAGAGAAGAGACTGTTCTCATCTTCAAACAACAACAAAAGGATTTAGATCAGAGGGAAAATGTGGAAAGAAAACACAGAAGGACCCAGAGTGCTTTATTTTGGGGGGCAATCATTGGTCATTTCAGAATAGGAATCTAAAACAGAACCTCAACTTCAACTTTATTATTATCATGATGGAAATTCATTTTGCAGACAGGCATTAAAACATTACACATGCAGGCTACTGTTGAGGATGATCAGAAACTATATGTATGTCAAGGACATAAAAAAAACTACAAAATAGTAAAAACTAAACTAAAATAAAATAAACTATATCAGACCTTCACTACATCTTAAAATGAGAGGAAAGATTTCTGTCCTTGAAATATAAAAATGATTTTTTATTAAGGCACTGATGGGTAAATACATATTTATGTATGTACTCGATCTGTACACCTGTAGATCTCTATTTTAATAGTCAATAAAGTCAATTTCTGGTGAAGAAAGGAAAAGAAATAGATTATACTTGAGGAATGACAACAGAAAAAATACTCTCACCTTATGTGATAATACTTTGAAGTCAAAGTTGTCAAAATTGTGACATTAAACGTCAAAAATACATTTACTAAATAAACTGTATTAAATATATCAACATTTTGACTTAATCAAACAATGTTCACCAAGTATCTCATAGTTCTGTCTTACCATGTGTATTTTTAGTTTTAGCCATACTAACTTTTGTTGTAGTGACATCATCAATACCAACAAAACTAACAGCATTTCCCATTAGTCCCAGCTGTACTTTTTGTTGGGTGCTAATTAGCAAATGTTAGCATGCTGACATGCTAAGATAAGATGGTGAACATGGTAAACATAATACCAGATAAACATCAGCATGTTAGCATGCTGACATTAGCATTTCATACGGTAGTTCAACATTCGGGAAAATGTAGTTCCAAAGGAAAGGGCTGTTTGACGGCAAGAGTCTGGAAGGGCTCTGATCCATATCTACTGCAGGTGATACACTGACCGTATACAACGCACACGTTAAATAACCTGAACTATTCGTTTAAGTACAGCCTCACAGAGCCGCTACTGTAGCATGGCTGTAGAGTCTTGAGGCCAACTCATTTGGCCATGTGGGTCTGAGTAAACCCCTGTGTGGATATCCACAGGCAGCCCAAAATTTGATCTTCATCATTTCATCATGTTTTTTAGAGCACATCTGTGGACCGTCCAAGTCTGTCCTGGAGTACGATCAAGGCTTTCTTGTTATGTGAAAATTATGACATTAAAAAGTTATGCTATTAACTATGTCAGAATTATGAGGAATTGAGGTAACATGAGGTAACACTTTGACACTGACAATTTTCTTCTTTCATAAACTTTACCAACTCAGTCAAAGTTTTTGTCTTATTATAATTTACACTCATAATACCACATGAAACCATAGGTATCATTCCAAACTTTTCATCTGCATTTTTCTGGCAGAAATGGGCTCATACTATTAACAAATTGTTGATGAGAATTAACACATAATAAAATGGGTTGTAAGAAACTACAGTACTTTAAAATGTTTGAATTACAATAACAATCTGTTCATGTACATTCCCACAAACGATGGTGTTCACTATTTTATCCCTGGACTGAATATGTCACACCATACCACTGCCAGAAAATGTTATGGAGATAGACAGTCTACAGTAAACATGGAGCTATTATACATTATCCTAGATTATGCCAGAGGGAGTAATCCTGTGGCAAACCACACTGAATCACGCTGACTATACAGCCAATCCAGAGCTTAACTTTTCTACAATCCTGTGATGAAGCTGACCTCTGCGGCTGTGTTTTTTTTTACGACCTTACTGGCCAATTTCTTTCAGTGTCGGGCCAAAGCTCTTGCAGGCAGCAGTGCCAGGAAGGAGCATGGAGCTCTCTCCAACCCTGTTCCCGCACCAAGAGTTTTATGCAGTTTCTCAGGACTTTAACTGCAATCATCATAAACTGTGTTTGTTTAAATTTTTAGTCTTTTGACACAGTGTATGAATTTCAGTGCAGATGGTTTTCACTTCTTTTTGCAATGCAATCTTGCAATTAAGCTATCCAGGGAAGATTTCCATATGTCCTTTTTGACTTTCTTGGCTGGCCATTGAATTGGGAAATTCACTTATTGATCTTCTCAGATTAAAGTAAAGTCAGAGAAACCTCCCACATCCCTCCTACACTATTTGGAAGAAAAGCCTCGCCGCTTCGCCAGGACGTTCTGTGGCTAAAAAGAATAGCCTGCCTCAAATTGTATGGTTCAATCCATCATTACATGACTGAAGGTAGAGGAGCAGAATGCACAATGTGGGACTATTCTATCTCCTTGCCAGCTATTGTTCACACTGGGTGCTTTCTCTCTTTCTGTGCGACTGCCCTGCTGCCATGCTGCTCTGTCTCTCCAGTCAATCTGCTGCTGCCTTGTGTGACTTCATCAGTATGCACCTCACATGGGTCACCTGCTTGTGCTGAGGTGGAGGGAAGGGAGATTTTAAACTTCACTGCGGAGAAGCTTCGTAACTGTTCAAATTCTTAAAGGAATACTTCACATTTAAAAAAAAAAAAAAAAATCTTATTATTGTTGCTACTGGCTTTATCTTTATTTTTTTTATCTTTGACCACACATCACTGGCTCAACTAACCGGTTATTGAGCAGCAGTAAGCTTATCACTGATCTGATTTGCGTCACGGTGTATGTGTTTGTACATGTGTCTGATCTCCACATGCAGGATGTATTTCAGTGGGAAATCTTGAAACAAATCAAAGCCTGACTATAAGCAGATTAATGGATTTTTCTCAACAAGTGTTGGGTACATTTGTACAAGGTAACAGCAACATTTTACCCTCTCAAGTCCCTTCTGCATTAATAAAAGTTTCCCTGTTGGTACTTATTATTGACCTTTACTGTGCAGAGTGATGTATGTGCAGAGTGTTACACTGGAGGACTGAAAGTGTCTCAGCGAACATCTTCTGGAAAAACCATATCTATTTGTCTGAAAACAGGGGACCTTTAAATTTGCAAAGACACAAGCCTATAATGTAAATATTCAACTCTTACGTGCAGCACTAAGTAAATCTCCTAATGTCTGCAAGTTTGTTGGCTTACCGCCGCTTGTCTGTGCGTGTTGGAGAGGATGCCATGGATCTTCACTTTTTCCTTGTCCATCTGGTCAATATTTACCCACAAGTCCTTGCTCATTGGATCTGACGGCCCGTATGTTTTTGATGTGTAGTAGTTGTGATCTGTATCCTCCTGCAAAAAGACAAAAGAAAATGCACCCTGTGAGCGACTTTGTATACTGGTTTTAATATTAAAGGTCCTGTATTTTACACTTTCCAGTTGTTTTATTTGAAGTTTTGATCCATAACAAGATATATTTTTGGTTTTAAGAACCAAAAAATCATCTCAATGTAGTTTTACATCTCCTCTCTCAGACTTCTCCCTGGAGCTCTAGCAACAACAGGTCGGTGAGCCAATCAGAAGAGAGCAGGCTCTGAGCCAATAACTGTTTCCTGAGTGATCGAATAAAAATATAGCAGATTTCAGGTAAAACACTCAGAGAAACCAAATCCTGCAAGGCTGCATGGTGGGAGCAGGTGGGCTGGGCTTGGGGCATGGGTGAGGGCTGTGACTGCTTCGTTGTGACATCACAAAGTCCTGTAAGTTTCTGAATACAGGCTGTGTGCATTTCTCTGTGGACTGAGCGCTTTGATACTTTCACAGTATTAATATAGAACTTAGACCTGCTTTATAATTAAAAAAAGACATGGAAATCTAACTTTATACAATATGGGCCCTTTAAGAGTGTGAAGTGCAGTGTAGTTATTCAGAAGAATTTAATATAGCTTGAAGGACAGAGAGGATATTGCTGCTCAGCTCTGTGATTTACACCAATGCATTCTGTTGCTTTATTGTACTGTATACAGTGCAAAGAACATAAACAAATATTCATGAAGAGACATCCTGCGGCTCATCGTTCCTCTAAGCTGCTCTAAGCCAAAATCAAATTCAAAGCTACCTAATACACTGTAAGCTGCAATTTCTAAAAACAATTTAAACCTCTACACAGACAGAAAATTTTTACATGCAGTATGGAAAATCAGTCTTTTTAATTTTACTGCTGAACAAATTACCTGCTAAATCAAATTAAATGACAATACAGTCATCTCCAGTGTGCTGTGTGTGCACTCGTTTCGTCCTTTCACTCAACTCTGTAGTTTTCATTACAGCACAATCAGCACAGGAAGTGGTTTGAATGTCTCCTAATCAAATGAGAAAAAAAAAACAAAAAAAAACCAAGAAGCCAATCAGCTTATTCCACTCTTAAAAATCCCAGACCAGACTGCAAAGTCAGGATTGCTTTTTATAACAGAAACATTCATGGACTTTTATAAGTCACGTGGGAGAGGCCTGTCTGCTTTTATGTTTCCTGTACAGAATTAGGAGGAATGCTTGTGTCGTGGGGCCTCCTATGGCTCGTCTCCCTCTGGGTCTAATGAGACACGTTACAGCTGTGGCTTTTATCTAAAACATTGTTAAAGTTAATGTTTTGCTGAGTGGGGAGTCGGGGAAGTGTACACTATGTCTGACTGTGATCTCACTAATAGGAGCTCACACAGCTCTGTGGACACTTTGGTATATGAGTGGTATTATTCCGAGCTACTGCGCTTTGGTTGTCAAAAGGCCATGAGACAAAACATTAATTAAAGCACAATACTTTTCTGCTTGGTTTATTTTGCTTCAAGGAGTCATACTTCCCTCGGAGAGTTATAATCTAATACCTCTACTCAATATTCAGCCTGGGATGTCAGACAGAGAGATAATGTTTCAGGCCCAGCAGACCCTCTGAGAGACTGATAAATATCACATTTCCAAATGGAGTTCAGCCATGTAGGTGGTGTTACTTTTGATTAATTTGTAGATTTAAACAAACATTGCCAGAGGCCTTTCATCACAGCTTAAAGTGCAGACAAATCGTGTCAGGGGGGAAAAAAAAAAAAAAAAAAAAAAGGCCCCTCCAAGCAGCCTCAGTCAGCACATTACTTCCAGAATAAAAAACAAGGGCACTTGTAAAAGGTGTACACACAAATGCAAGGCTGTAAAGTCTCCTGCTAATCAGCACAAGATGTCTTTGCTCTTGCAGGGGAAGATCGAGGGAGATACAGGCTCCTCAGAGGTGAGACGGGGGCCCAGCTGGCGGTTCTTGCCCCTCAAGGGGGAAGGGGAAGATGGGCAGGGTGCCATCGTCCAGCGGGGTGTAGGTGGACACGAAGCTGTGAGGGCTTTTAAAGAGCACAGCAAACAGACAACAGGGCGTGTGACTACAGAAACGCACAAAAAAATGCACACATCTGAGAGAGTTTTGGTGGGAGGTTGTGGGAGTCAGGTAGTGTTTCTTTGAATCTGGCACTGCAAACTAGCGCCAAAACCAGTCAGCTGTTGAGGTGAGGCAGTCGATATCGATGTGCGAAAATAAAAACATGGTGTGAGATGTGCTATGGCTGCTGCACTGGCTTTTCTTTATAGGTACTGGGACCGCAAACAGAGGGCAGAGAGAATTTTAAACAGTGACAACATGATTATACCGTCTTGTTCATGTTTTCCAGAGAAGCCAGTATTGTAAAATGTCATGCAATTTGAAATCTATTCGAAATGCATTTGAAAAAGATTTTAAAACACATTTATAATTGGTTACCAGTACATTTGTGATGTGTAATATTTTGTATATTTTTCAGGTATTTAAATTGGATTTTGAGTACATACTATCCTGTACAAGTACGTCAGATATATTGTCACTCCATGTGGGACACACATACACATACACATCTCTATTGGGGTAAGTTACAATTGACCCTCACAGACTCTACAGAAGTGGAGATGGCTGAGCTGCACTGAGAGGCTCAGAGGAGACTAATGGCAGATAGATGGGCACTCGATGAACGAGCGAGTGGAGAGCGGGGGCTGTAACCTTGCCAACAGTAGGAACCCCTGCCCTGTTTTCATCTGTCTGTCTTGATGTGAAATGCTCTAAGTGGGGGAGGAGAAAACAAAAATTGTTGTTGATAATGGACCATTTTCTGTCTCTAAAGTACAAAAACACACTGCAGAAAAAGATTCATTCAGTGGAAAAAACGTATTCCAGACTCACTCTCCTCTGTCTCAGGCATTTGCTCGAGCTGCCCACCACATCAATATTGCATCACACCGAGACCTGAATATCTTGGGCTGACATGTTTTCACATCTATATGGCTCCTTAATACAGGAGAGGAATTTACCGCTCCGCCTTTATACGATTATTCTGGGCGTTTTACTTAAAGACATGAAGATGTTTAGAAATGTATGTTAAAGCTGCTACTGATGAGGTAGTCGTGGCTTTGACTCACTGATGTTTGTCAGAAAAATAAAGAAAAAGTACGCTGAAAACTGTAATCCCTTCAACCACAACTATGTCATTGCTCCTGAGAAAATAAAATTTCATGTAGACACAAGGAGAACTTGAGCTTGAAATAAATGTTCCAATATGTTGGGATAAAGCTGCTTGTCAGCTAGCTTTCATTTTCCTAAGACACTGCACATCCAGACACCAGGATGTACACACACAGAGACACGTACACACACACACACACACACACACACACGCAGAGTACACAGTTAAATCAGACTGCACTCTGTTTGAAAAAGCATTAAAAGGACGCCATCGCTCATGTGTGCAGCTCTTCATCAGCTGATAATGTCTGTGATCCATTATTCATTGCTCCGCTCCATTGCCTGCCAGTTGTAGCAGCTTGATAGTATTTGGTGGTGAGGCTCAGCAATGTGCATCACATACTGGTCTGAGCTGCACCACACTATTTATGACTCGTTTTAACAGGTATAGATAATCTAATATGAACTGAAAGTCTTCACGAAATCCACGTTGGTGCCGTTCCCAGAGGGATCTGTCAAATCCCTGCATAAATTAGGCTTCAAAATGAGAAACTTGATCAAGTCAAATCTGAACAGACAGAGAACAGCTACACAGGCAGCAGTATGATGTGCCATCTACAGCTGCAAATAATTTTCATTGTGGTGCATATGTTTCTCAATTAATCAATTAGTCATTCATTTGGAAAATGTTGGAAAATGGTGAAAAATGGTGACGTCTAGTGCTATCAGTTAAAAAAAAAAAAAGAGCAGCTAATATTTTAGTTTGAAGGATATTTGAAAATCGTATTGTCATCTCCTGAAATATCGATAGAACATTGTGTTTTCTAACCAGTACTTTTCGCTCGTCTGAGATGAATGAAATTCAAAGAAAATAACCGCAGTATCATCTGGACCTGGTTCGAGACAGGTTTCAGGTCCAGATCTTGATTGTTGCAGAGCTGAGAGGATCCATGAAGAGTGAGGGACCTTGAAGAGAAGAGAACCTGAAATACAACTAAATTATTACTGATGGTAATTAAACTGCTCCAAAACTGTCGGATTGTTCAGGATATTTGTAAGAAATATGATCAGAAAACTTTTGAGTTGGATTAATAATAACGTGTCCATGTGGGAATGTTTCAAAAACGATATGGAGAGAGTGGAGCAAATAAACAGTCTGAGATGAATCCAGGCACCTGATATATAATTTAAGCCTTCCTCGGGTCTCTGGTTGTACATCTCCTGAATTGGATTTTCAAGCTCTCTGACAGGTTCAGACAGAATGTGTGTGTCTGCTTGTACTTGAAAGTGATGCTCGGGGACGTAGAGAGCACTACACAACATACATGCATTCACAAGCTCACTACCTTTGCTGTCTTTGTTCATCTTGCAAACCAAGCTGACCCGCGGAGAGATGTCTGCAACCCTCTCGCTACAAGATGATGCTCAAGTTGAAAAGTTAAAAACGGGAGAGGCTGGACACAGATTGAAATTGAAGCAACTATGAGTTCATCTGTGGAGCAGCTGCGAGCTGTAGCAGCTGCCTGAGATGGTATAACCTTACAGAGTTTAAACACTGAACAACATAAAGGAAGTAAACATCTCTTTCCAAACACATTTCCCTCTGGGAATCTTAACAAACTCGAGACACAAAACAAATAAAGGGAGAAAAAAACTCATTTGCATTCGCTGCAGGCTTTGAACATGGAGTGTGTGTGGTAAATGTAAATGCAGCACTGGGAATCAAATGAAGTAAAGGAAATTAGCAAGATGAGCAGCTTGCTGCTTCGCTGTGTGAATTCTCCCCCTTAAGAAATGCACAAATAAACACTGAATGTAGCGAAGCATGTAACCCCCAAAGAGCCTCCTGAGCTGTAAAGTCCCGGCCATCTCCACATATCCAATAACAACTATCCACCATAAACTACACCCTTATTACTACACATCAAAGCAAGCTATACAAACACAACAGCAGCAGCAGGGTGGAGAGACCCACCCCCAAACACCAGTATACTCTGTGCTTTTATTGGCAACCTGACATGTTTGACATTGGTTAAATTATCAGGACAGGCTGTGCTTTAGTGTAAAGAACAGCCAGGCGTGAAAATGACACCATCAAACGTACACATTATTTCAGAGGGAACATGAGGAGTTATATGTCTCTCTTGGCTTCACTGTTGCAATATGATGCCGCAAAACGAAGTAGTCTGTACAATTTATCATCCGAGTAGCTGCCACATGTCCTCTGCACGTGTGTTTGTGTGGTTTGCTTATTCCCCTCATAAAGATAAGAGCTGAAATGTCGCCACTGACAGCTGTAGCAACCTCTCAACTCGAGCTTCTCAAACTTGCAGTCAGAACCCCGCGTCGGCTCGCTTGGTATGCAGGTGATTTCTCACACTGAGCGCGTGTTGACACAGAAAATAGCATTTGGTGTCAGAGTACCAGCGATGAAAGCTGAAATATAATCCAGGAAGTCCAGTTCAAGTAATACATCCATAAATTTGAAGGCTTATAAGACAACAAAAAGACAAAGAGGTTTATAATGCTATGAGACAGGATTTAACTTTTCATCCACTGTTTCAACGATCACAAGGTAAACAGTGGTGGCACGCCATTTTCTTTATGAAGTCATCTACCAGAAATGTGTGTATGAGTGTCTAATGCAGAGTGTATTCAGTGTCTTTTTTGTTCTACGACCCTGTTTTTCTTCCCCAGAGGCCTCTGCATCTGCACCTCAGCTGTGCCAACACAGTGGTTTCATGAAAATGAATAAGGAGCTGCAGTTTTTCATGGTTTCGTGGTTGAACTTGATATAATCCAATCCAGCAGCAGAATGGTTCTTCCACTTTGGTGTAGAAGTGTTAAAAAAAAGGTGTAAAATCTGGTAGACAGTAGTTGGGGTGCCCCGGTGGTATATCGGTTAAGGCACATACCACATAATGTCCACAGTTCAATTTAGAGTAACGTGTGTTTCTTCATGCTTATGCAAACAAAACATTGCACAAGTATATACACACATACTCTCAGTTTACATGACAATCTCACAGTTGGGTTTATGAAATATTTGGGACCTTAAAAAAAGCCCCACAAAAAAAAAAACAAAGGGCCGTGATCCAAGACGAGGTTGAGAAACTGCTGCGAAGCTGCACTTTGAAAGATAACAAACAACAAAAAAACACAACCGCGAACAGCCACAAGCCATCACTGACAGCGTGTCTGGACAAGCACAGACTTCACCTTGATGGACAAAAGAAGCAGTGATGAGACCTGGTTTCACTGACAGGGAATTGTTCCCACGGTTGATTCCAACTTTATTCTACCTCACAGCGACCTTAACGCACCTTTGCATGGGAACCTTTTAAATCTGGGTTTGTGATCCAGAAAAGAGATAAAGGGAGAGTCACAGCCATTCAGGGCGTCAGACAGTCTGTTGTTGAGGCCGCTGCATTTTCAGGTGAGACGAGTCTGTTGTTGGAGACTATCATGGTTATGGCACCAGTTAACCCGACCACAGGAAAGTGATTTCTTCAGCTGGAAACTGGATTCATGGAAATTAAAAACTTGGATTCAACAGCAGATTCAACCAAGCACAACTAAAATGGGTTTAATCCACCTTAAACAAATTAGCATTGTTAAAATGTTTCAAAAAAAACAGCTATTTTGGATCGCATCTCTGTACATGTTTGTGTTTCCCTTATTTTAGAAAAGTGGTCAAACCTGCTGCTACGCGAAAGGAAACCTCAAAAGACTACACCGCACTGCGGCCTCGGGACACTCTGTAATTATCAGATTTTAATTCTTCTCGACAGGGAATTTGGTCACAAATCACTAGCTACAGTAGCTAGACGAAGCAGGTTGCTGGGAAGTGCCAAAAAATAAGTTATAACACCAGATACCTCTTGGAATGTGTTTACCATCACAGATTGATGATATACGGCTTCGTGAAAGTGTCTTAGGGGCAGATTTCGACTTGAAGATCTGTCCTCTTCCTTCCTCACTTAAAGCTCCTCCAGTGACGAGAAGACAGTTTTTTAAAACCATTCAGCTCACTGCGGGGCGGAGGATTTCAGCTCAGTGTCTGATGTTTCTGCCCTCTGAAAAATGAAGGCTTTTCTCATGTCAACAAAGTGTTGGTGGCAGGTGAGGGGATGTGTGTGTTTTGTGTGTGCGTGTTGGGTAATGACAGGAGGAATGACAGGGTGTTTGAGCTGTGGTCTGCTCCTCCACTCAGCAACAACAAATAAGCCTTGGAGAAGGAAAACAATGGGGGAGGACATGTTCGTGTTAGTGTGTGTACGTGTGTGTGTGTGTGTGTGTGTGTGTGTGATGGTATGTGAGTGTGCATCGGAGCGAAAGTGTGTGCGTGTGGATGCGACATCTGAAGTGGTACGCATGTGTTTATGCATTAGTATGTGTGTGTTTACACTTGTGTCCATGTGTTTGTGAAGTTTCAAGCGGTGAATGGGTGTGTGTGTGTGTGTGTGTGTGTGTGTGTGTGTGTGTACAGCTGACGATCAAAGCCCCCTCCCTCCTCGCTGAGAGACGCGGGGCTGGGAACCTGACATGATTAGAAGCCGCAGGAAAACTTAACGAGCCATCATTTTGACTGAACGCCACAATGCCGCGCACCGACCAGAGGCGCCATAACAAGGGACACGGGTGATGCCGTTCATTTACATAGACACAAACACAGGCCGGTGCCCGAGCATTAATCTCCAGCAGGTCCACTAAGCCCTTGGAACTGTAGGAGGCCAGGTTAATTTCCTGTTTTGTTCTCTCCAAGGTCACTATTAAGGAGGATCCAGTCCCACACAGAAGGTAGATGAGCACCTGAGGGCTGATCTTAATTTGATATAAAATATTAATCCTTATAGGCCCCTCCTAGTCTTCTTTTTCATTACTAAACATCCACGCTTCTAAGAAGATTTATAATTGCTCCAGGGAAGTAACCAAAGTGTATTTTTAGGTACGGCTCAGCAGAGGACTTTAGCAAATCATTCTCTTTATATTAGTTGGATTCTGTACCAGACCGGGAAGTTTATTGTGTGATCCACATTGTTCAGCTGCACTGATCTGAACTGTCACAATAAAGCTGGTCTAAATTTGGGCTGCTGGATGACCCCAATCATTGGCCTCCATTTCATCTTTTTATCCGCCTTTGTCAATCAAAATACAGCAAAGCATGAAATAGCATTTATACAGTATTATATAACATAGAACGTTTCGCTTTTTACCAGTGCGTTGTCTGTATTCATGTCCTTCTATCACTGTAGCTCCAAGTGGCAGGAATCACTTAAGAAAAGTCAATGATCCACTAAAAAAGCTGAACGTGAAAACAAGGCCAAGAACAAGACAAGGCACAGATCCAGAAGAAGAATTAACAGTAGAATTAACTTTAAAACTCAATTTCTAAGCCAGAATGGATGAGAAGTTCCTGAAATGCTTAGGAAAAAATGTAAATTTGAACATCTACATCACTTTAATGACGACTGGGCAGACAGCAGAAGCTCCAGAACAGCTACTAAAAGGACCTTGAGGTGAGATTGTTTTGTCAAGTGAAAAAATCACCGATAGTAGCTGTAGCTGTGCTGAAGCATATTGCATATTTAAATTTTTGAGTGGTCATGGCTCATGTCACTTAAAAAAACAAAACCTTGACACCCACACACAGTTTTTGCTTCTATCTTCTTATTTCTCAGAGTCTGGTGACCACACATAATACCCAGCAGCATTAACTCTGCCCATCTTCAACCTGAGCAGAGGTCTCTTCAGCCAGGACACATGGAAACACCTGTGCAGGTGTGCAAGGCCTTTACATGTCGCGTCATGTTCACATCAAGAGGTTTGTGTGATTATAGAGTCGGTCCAGTGAGGGTTAAAAATACAAATCATTGACACTGTAACTATATCCATTACATTTGGGTTTAATGACATAAACAATGGACTTTGACTGATTTGAGACATCCGTGTTTGCTGTGCTTTCACACACTTCTGTGTTATGAAACACCAAGTCAGATACATCAGGGCAGATTTGTAATAACGCCTCTGTTGTTGATATGAAAACTATTTAGGATTCAGTAATTACGAGAAGTCTGATATGACACTAATGTCAACATAACTGGTATCTTTTGGAAGCTCCTCCAAAGCCACATTATACAAATGTTTCCATCTGCGCTCATGATGAGTAAACTGATCTTCTCGAGCAAAAATCCTTAAGACTACCACTGTGTGCAGCAGCAGTGCGGCAATAAATTCTGGTCCCGCTGAAAAACGCCCCTTAAACTATCAACGTGTAAATGACAACATACAGTTTATCTCTGATCAGATGCACAGCCTTGGTGTGAATCATCACGTACCTCTATCTGGGAGCTGTTGTCTGTTTCCTCTGCTGAGAGCAGCCCTGGGAACCCATCAGGCTCTTCCTGCTCGGGCTCCTGGTCCTGCTCCTGACTGGCCCTGTTACTGTCCATGTTACGAGGTTTTGGGGGAAGCCATCTCCTCCACCGGTGACTGTAGAGCTTCACGTCCACCGCTGCGTCCTCATCTCCTGCCTGCCCCTCCACATATGAGTAAGAGACCGCTGAGGGAACAGGAGAAGAAGGTGTGGATTACAAAAAAAAGAACATCAGTGTATGGTCCAAAGATAGATCACCTCAAAGTTGTAATTTCATGTTGATAAATGTACAGTGGGACGCCACAAATGTACTCTAATTGGTGCATTAATACAGCATGCTTTATTTAATTTTCTATCCAAATTAGCTTTCAGCTATCGAACCCCGCATTAGTTGGACTGAAAGTAAAATATGTTGATTTGTATTGCAAATCGGTGAGTTGTGCAAGCAAAATAATTATATGTCACAGTATTTTTGCTATAACTAAGGCACTAGTGAAATCACAGAGGCGGGAACTGTTCAAGCCATTAATCTTGCGCCGCTCCCTCATAATTCACTGTCTCTGCGGACTTTTTCCTCATTTCTTTGGGGAGAAAACTCTCTGTGCCTGAAACAGATGCACATTAGGAATGACTCAGCAACCATCACACAGACCAGTGGGCCACAGTCATACCCAATCATCCCCATCCCAGAGACTGAAATGAGACGCTGGCGACAGGTGAGAAATGGTACCGTGTTAATGTAAACACTGACTTGATTAACCGAGCCTGAGACGGACTGCTGGATCAGGGGTGAAATGTGCTGCGTCATTTTAAGAAAAGATTTCCTGAGCTGAAAGTCAGAATGAGGAAGAAAAAAAAAAAAAAAAAAAAAAAAAAAAAAAAAACCTAACTAGCAGCCCTCAAGACCCGAGTTCCTTCTGTGAGTGGATATTGTGAATTACCTTGACGATTTTGAATCACTGAGTTCAGTTCAGTTCGCTTGTATTTTAAACACCTGTAGCTAAACAATCAAAGCATCATTCAAAAGCACATGAGCGAGCAATTGTTATCACCATATAATGATGCTACAATGTTGCTTTTGATTGTCTTTCTTTTAGCCTTTTATTCTAACTACGTTCAGAACCAAACGGCCAACATCTGGTAAGAAGTGAGTCTGAGCTGTTTAAACCGCTTGTGAGCGTCTCCTCCTGCTCGTCAGGATACTGCGCCTTAACACGGCAAACTCACTCATTTGGTTTCCTCTTTTACATGTTTGTCTGTTTCCTTCACACATAAATCATCCTTTTGCAAAAGTGTAGTTTACACTGTCCACTGTCCAAATGAAAAGTGAGGCTGGCATTTTAAGATTTTTTTTCCCCTCTAAGAAAAGCTCCATTTAAGGTGGAAAAATGGAAAACTAGCATGAACAGCAGGCCAAAACATGGAAGAAAAAGATTGTTCTGGCATAACGTACACAGAGCTATGCGGCTGTTTGTTTTTTTTTGTTTTTTTTTTTATGAATTTGGTGTGTCTTTTTCACAAAGGTGACGCCATATATGTTCCTGCCGCTGGTTTCACAGTACTCCACTGATGAACAGGTGACATGGCAGGTAACATGCCAAGATATGCAACAATGTGCCGACAAAGACAGAGAAGAAGAAGACTGTAAACCTGTAAACATGGATGTAAACAATGCAGAATTGAAAGATACTTTAAAATCAGCTTTGCAAATGTTTAATGAAGAAGGTGGTGCATTTATTATGTTCGTTATAGCTCAAAGATACACACGGTGAGTTTTGGCTTTTAACCAGGAAAACACACTGTTCATCTTGGCTGACCTGACAACGCCCTTTTCAGCAATCAATGAAGAAATGAAGGGATGTAGATTCCTTCAGTAACACTGATAATTCAGTACACGCGGTACAACGTGAGGATTTGACGTTAATGTACTGAACTCATCCAATTCCTTCTGCTTTACTTTCCCTTCTCGTGCAATTATATATTTGTGATAAACTTTAAACTTGACAAAAAATGCATGTTCTCCACTCGCTTACATGCGTTTCCCCCTAAATCACCCGGATTAGAGACGTTAAATCTCTTGTAGGTATGAAGGAGAGGAGGCAGAGACGGTCTGCTCATCTGTTCGTCCTGTGATGGACTGCAGACTTGTTTCCCTGCCTTCAGGCTAATACTCGGCATGCTTGGATAAGCTCCTGTTCCCCACGACCCTAATAGGATTACGCGGTTAAAGACAATTAGTAATAAACTTCATTTTCATTGCAGTCCTCCAAACACGAAGTTTACAAAGTGCTTGCATGCTGTTGCAGCTATCTTCATTATTTTGCCTTTAGGGAAGAGAAAGCCGCTGATTCCCCGACTATTGCTGTATGTTGCTTCTTTCCTATGAGACCGAGGTCATTGGGTTTAAATAGCAGAGTGCATTTTCCTCCTCTTTTCTCCTCTGTCTCTTTTCTCTCATGCTCACATTTTGTCCTCCTTGTCATCCTCTCTCCTCCTCCTCTTTCTGGGCGCCTGACCAGTGGTTCTCAGGAGGGGAGGAGAGGGTCGGTGAGAGCAAGTGGAGAGGCTTAAGATGCTAATTCACCCAAAGTGGAGGCTGACAGATTCATTTTGTAATGAGCATCGGCAAAGCAAGAAGCAAAGAGTCCAATCTGCACATAGAGGTGGGTGTTAATGTACATTACATTGGAAGAATTTAACAGAGCAGAAGGAACAGCTAAGAGTACGACAGAAGGCTGAGCGTCGCAATTTGCAGTTAATTGTTTTTGGAGCCAGAGAAGAACGATTAAAAGTTAATGCTCACATTCAATCATTAGCATTAAAACCATAAACCTGGCCAGAAATCTTTGGACTCCGACCTAAATTTTAACATCCACATGAAGAAAATTACAAAATCAACAACCGTCACCTTAAGAATACATGAGGAACTGTAATGTTGCCTTTACTTTCTAAAGAGTCAAGAAAACTATAAGAAGGCGTGTTCCTTTTTTATGAAGAAAAGACCTGAGAAAACCTTGCTCCAACTCTCAGTTCTTAAAGGTGAAGGCTAGTGCTACTGTCTTTTCATCTCTTTTATTCACTTTTTGTCTTTTACTTTGCTTTACCCTTTATAAATCCCATCTATGTGTTTTTATGCTGCAATGTGTTTCTTTTATATCTTAAAGCTTTTTCATATCTTATGTAAAACACCTTGAATTTCCTTATTGTTGGAAGGTGCTATAGGTATCAGATAAAGGCCGTAATAACTCAATTTAGACACAATTAACATCCAAACAAAATACTAATAGATGAAGTAGTCACCTACCATGTTTCATCAATGCTGAGGGAAATTAATACTACAGAAGAAGAAGGCGGTGCAGCCACAAAATTCAATCATTGACTACATTCATGTTTGCTAGCTAACTGTGTTTGTCTTCTATGTCTTTTGCTGGTGCAATAACATCTCTTTTAAATGGTGGTAGACATGTACATATACATACATCCTTCCCTATGCAAGTAGATCCTAAGATACTAAACCAGACCACAAAACATGGCTTCATAGCGCCGCTAGGCCGGTCACTTTTTCGAACAATCTAATTTGAACATATAGCAAAATGACAAAAATAACAATAGCAAAAAAAAAATAAATAAAAATACAGTCTCCCAGTTAAAGCCACCAAATGTCGAGGCTTAAGGATTAAGTTAAAGTCAAACTAACAGGTTAATTTAAACCCACTCTGTATTTCCTAAAAATTGTATTAAACTCAAACTTTCGGGATGCTGTTGTTAGTCTGCTGTCAGGTAAAAAGTGACAGCTCTAAAAAGCATTAAAATTCCTCAGAGTAGCTTTAAGTTACCCGTGGATGAGGCAGTCTTTGCATCATCTCACTTTCATTGTTTGGTCTCTGCAGCAGCTCTTTGCCAACTATTCACTCACTGTCTCATTCTCACATACTTCTAATACTTCCTGACACTCACTCTATCCCTAATGGTCATTAGTCACATCTATGAGAACAAAGAAGCCCAGGACAAACTTCCTGTCAGCGGTGGTTATATACTCCAGGAGGCACTAACACATACCGTTCCACCAACACGTAAACATCTATTTTCATCTTTTAAAGGATCTTTGTCAGTTCCTCAATATATGGTGGAAAGCTGGCAAACAGCGGATGCTTTAAAATACACCATGACCACAACATAGGGGCCTCGAACAAATGGCTGCTCTTTTCCCAGCATGTTCCTCTGTGAACAGCCATCATGAGTCACCCTTTAAAGGAGCACATGCACCTGCATTTCTCTTGTGTGCACCACCTCTCTGATTCAGGGGCAGCAGAATATCTTATTATACAGAGGAAACTCAGGGTCCTTTGTCAAGCGTTTGGGAGGGCAGTGAGGGCAGACCCCTGAGGGACACCTAAAATAACCCCCCAGCAGGAAAGGGATTCTCTTCAGTGCAAGCCTGTTCCTGGGCTTTTGTGTGAAAGGAAATCTTTCCCCTCTACTTTTCTCTCAGTGCCTCTGAAAGCCCCCGCATACCTTCACCCTGACTCTGTCGAGCAGCCTTGTTGGCTGGACTCACGCCTGTCAACACCTCTGATTCACAAACACCAGAGGGACTGTGATTTGGTTCCACCTAAAACCTTTCAGACATTTAGGAGGTCATGAAACGTACAGAATAGAAGGTGTGTCTGCACCCTTCTTTCATATCAGTTCTCTTGTGTCCCCCCCCCCCCCTTTTTCTCTTGGTTCCCACCTGACTCAGTGTTGCTGACAGGAGACCGCCACACATGACTGGCAAGAAGAGGAGGAGGAATGCTTCATTGCATTTGTGTATGCTGGAGTGTGTGTGGTGTACATAATTTCAGCAGAAAAATGGATAAAAAAAAAAAAAAAGTCACATCCCTCTACGGTTTCTTAGGCTTTCTATCTCTGGGTGTCAGAGTGCTTAATTTAGTGCCCACTGAAAGCTGCTTTATCAGTGTACCAGCAGACCCTGCCAGGCACGCTGGAGGGACCGTCTCTCTCGGGGTTTGAAACAGTGTTGACTCTTTGCAGATCAACTCACCAGGGCCAGCACGGATTAAGTTGATGTAACTATTGCTGAAGTCCCCCCAACATCTTTCAGGAATTGTGCTAATTTTTGCTTCAAAGTAACAGAAAAAAAACTCAAGTCACAGCTCAGATCATTAACATGATGAATGTTACAA